TGCACTGACCAGTCGGCAACTTCATAACGAACATTTTGATGCATAATATGTGGGATTTCAATTTGGTGTCTATCAGCAATAAGACTCTGAATATCCGGCTCAAGAAACCTCTTGCTCCGCGTCAGTTTCCGAGTTCTGGGATACCCCATCTTCGGGGGCTGATTACAGCTATTTTTGGTCACCCGGATTAGTTTTTTTGGCCTAAGTATAATAATTTGATCAATTTCAAATCGATCTATATAAAAAATAATCCGAAACTCCGGAATCGCCCGTGGCCTCTCGTGAGGGCGTTTCCGACCAGTGTGCGGCGTGGCGGCAGGCCCTCTAGGCAGACCGCCGTCCCCAGCGCGCCAGGCCCGGCAGCGACCGTAGCCGGCACGACCAGCAGCTCCACCAAACTGCGCAGCGCAGCCCTCTGCAACTGCGACGTAAGCCCGCTCCGCCCCCCCCCCCCCTCCCCGGCCAAGTGCTCGGGCTCGGCGGCCGCGCCGACAGGCTTCAGTCATCGACTTCCTCGGGGATGACAGCTCTGTCCGCCAGCGCCGTCACTTCCGCCCGGCAGCCAGCAGCTTGCGCCGGTGCGCTCTCGCTGTGTGATAAATACGGCCGGCAGGGGCGGCTTCTGCGTGCAGCCGGACCGGTCCGCCCGGCGACCCGCCTCAACAGCGGGACGAGTGGCGAGGTCACAGGCTGCGTCAGCTCGCCGGAACGCTGAGCGATGTGTGTCTAGGCCGTACGTCCCGAGGTGCAGTCGCACATACGGTCGTTGCGTGCCTGTGTGAACGACTGTATGACTGTGTGCGCACTGCGCGCTGAGTACGTCGGCGGGGTTATATCAACAGTGAGTCAGGCCGTGTTTGTGTGGGACACTCGGTCAGCCTCAGCCGGCTCCGCTTACGGCGTCACCTGAAGGGCATGGGAGCGGACGGGGCGGGCGCCGAGGCTGACCACCCTCCGCGAGCGGCCCGTGCAGCCCCAGCGCCGCCGGGTATAGTGGCCAGCAGACCTCCCCGGCTCCCCACTCGCCGGTGGCCGACACCCGATTGATTTTACACACGCTGGCCGCTGTGACCGGCCCGCTGAGCGACGTGGGCCTCCGGAGCCGACGACGGCGTGGTCAGCACAGGGGCGGTCCAACGCCCCGGCCGCTGTCTCCCCCACCGCGAGGAGTGGGCGCAGTCTCACCCAGGGTATATAGAACATTGTCTCACCTGGGTTCGGTTACTGGGGCGAGACGGGATCGGGCGCACGGGCAGACGGCGGGCAGCGCGGTCCCACGGCGGACGCCGACCCCGCCCTCCCGGCACCATTAGAGCCGGTTCTGTTTGTGTACCAGCGCCGCGCCTGGGAGAAAGTGCACGAGTGTACGCGAAAGGTCGCGCCGCCTCTCCGAGCGGAGACGGGCGAGGCAAACAGGGACGCTCGCCTATCTGCGCGGGCACACTTCACAACCAGTTCAATGCAGCGAGGTGGCAAACAGCCCCGGCCGGCGCGGCGCCGGTGAAAGGGTGGAGGCCGAGCCGCGCGGGGCCGGTGGGCGGGTGAGGGAGGAGTGAGGAGAACCGTCGAGGTCGGCGCCGATCGACCGTCGAAGCGGCGACACTCGGCTCCCGTGGACCGGCCGAGGGTGCCACCGGCGCCGCGCTCAGCCGGAACACAAGGCCGCCGGTGTGCCGCCGCGGGCCGTCTGGACAGCGGAGAGTTGACGGCCGGCGGTGCCACAGGTGACCGATCGGTCCACGCCGGCCGGCCGACCGGCCCGTATCGACCGGCCGACGCAGTGGGCGTGCCCCCGTCCCGCTGACCCCCAACCACGGCGCCCCCCACAGCACTTGCCGATAGGTAGTATGAAATCCGCAGGTAGTCGTACATGGCGACAGCGTCGGGTCCGTCTCGGCTGGCACTGTGCGCCGGGCGCAATCGATCACCGGCCCGACACACGTCACTGACGGCGCGTCTGCACAGCACTCACTGGTCGCCGGCCGGCCGGCGCCTGCTCGCGCGCCGCCCGTCACCGGCACACTGACGGCGTGGGGACTGGGGCGGCCGCGCCGCACCGCGGACCGGCCGGCCGGCAGACAGGCGACACGGCGCCCGGCGTAACACGGCGGACAGAACGACACAGCGGCGCAGGACGGCATGTTACGGAACGAGCAAACAGGAAATGGGAGCACCGACGCTATCCATACGGACAACTCGAACCGATGTCCCCCAAAAACAAGTCAACTCGCACCGAGGTGTGTCGTGTGTGACAACCTAGAACGTGACCAACTCACAACTGTCATAGTTAATTAGACTTATCGTTGATCATTGTCGGTAGGCGGAGGCACCTCGACCTGCTTGGGATATGGCAGCATTGCCTTTTGGGGCCGGGCCAGACCGTTATGCTCTGATAATCAGAATGCCAAATCCAGACTTGCAGCAGATTAATTGTGTAATCGCCGACCAGAATGGCCGGTCAGCAGCCTCTGAGAACGGAGCCGGGATTCCGCAGAGCACATCCACGATGACGGCACATTGATAACCTTTGCATATCAACGAGCGCGGCCATTTTGACCCGACACGAAACGGCGCCATCTTTTCGACAGCCATCAGTTCCGGGGAGCATCGGAAAGATGGCACCGGGGAGGCCGGAAAGACGCCCGTCCACACAGGAAGCAACGGTCACGATTGTCCCGTTCCCGAGTTCGAGAGTTCGAGAGAGAGAGAAAGAGTTCCCGAGCACCAGTGCAGAGGCCAGGTTTGAGGTTTGCGAGATCAGTGCAGGAGCAAGAACTGAGCACTGAGCAGTGAGCAGACCTTATAGCTTGCCGGGATAGCAACAAGTTCCGACTGGGAGGATATATACCGGCACCTAATTGCCATCCGCCGTCGCCTGCCGGAGAGTACCGTGCGACCGAGTCCGGCCCGTGGCGCCGTGTCGCGCCAGCCCGTGCTCCGACACTAATGGGTTCGGCCGGCCGTGTGCTGACACGTGACGCCGCCTCTCGGCTCGGCGGCCCCCGCCCCTCTGCCGACCGGTGCAATCCCTCCCCCCCCCCCGCCGAGCGGAGCCCGATCGGACACGGCACGCTACCCCGGCTCTATGCACACTGCACAATGCAGTGGCTGTCCGATCGAGTTATCGGCGCGGCATTGTGAGCCGGCGTCCGACCTAGTAGCTCCAGTCCGGTCCGAGTCTGTCCGAGCAGCTCCGGGGAGGGAGTGGCAGTCGAACCCTCGTCAGCCCTCCTGCATAAGTCAGTGGCGCCGCGGGCCGGGCCAGCTCAGACCAGGTGGTATCCGAGGTGGCACAACACCTGCCGTGGCAGTGACGCTCCGGGGCCGGTCAGAACACGGCAGTCGATGCGTCACCGCCGCAGCACTGGGGTTGAGCCGAGCTCGGGGCGAAGCCAATTGGGCGGCACGGCAGAGCGGCGAGATCAGAGATGCCATCCGGCACCCACGCCCGCCGTGTGGCGAAACGAGCCGCCAGAATGTGACCACTGCCGCCCACAGCGACACAGTAAAACCGCAGCACGCTGAACAACAGCGGCGACACTGCCGAAAACAGGCGAACGCCGCGCGCCGGGCAAATCCAGTCCAGAACTTGCATGATCTTACATAATCTTGAATTATACAAGCTGTGTCGAGAATTCCAAGGCCAGCAGTACAATCAAACACCATCTATTTGACTGGACCAAACAACAAATAGGGTATGCTCCAGTCAGCACGTCGCCGTCTGAGTACTCAGTCTCAAGCAAATGGACAAGAAGTCCCTCTTAATTCAGTACAACACAGCACTTGCCGAACTGTCGTTTGCACACGGCTTTTGGACAGACAGTTCAACAAACAGGTACAGGGTAGGAGATTAATCAGCCGCCATCCGTCCGTCATCGGTCAGAGTGTCGGCAGTGACCGCCGGTCGGAGGACGGTTCAAGGACGCGGCCGGCGGGGGGCGCGGCCGGCCCATGAGACCGCCGCGCCGGGCGATACGCCGTGTTTATTTATGAGGCCGGCCCACTCAGATGCCGAGGTGGGTGTGTGGGGCACTGGTCCGGGGGCGGGGCACTATAAACGTCAGACCATCTGTCAGTAATAATCTCCGAGCTGCTACTGACGCGACGACAATGTGGCATATGCAAATAATGCAATGACTATCAGATTCATCAATGTAAGCAGGCTTGGCTACTTGGAGCAGCTCGAGACCCAGAAGTGGGTCACTCGTAGAGGAAGCCGCTGGGCCTTACCACTGATGAAACCCTACCACTGTCACAGAATATGGTCAATGCAAGGAATACCTAGAAACACGCGTCATATGTAGGCCGCCCTTCCTGCAGAAATAGCCCGACGTACTGGCAACACGGCACATGTTACCGAATATCTATGAAATGTGGAACATTCCTTTAAAGTGAGCGCCTCATGTTTGCTAAGTCGGAATCGTGATGCACAATTACGTTTGGTGCAGGTGTGCGTGACCGGTGCATGAGTAGAAACCTGATTGAGAGCAGTAGCACACCTGATCAGGCCACTACATCTGGCAGGTGACGGTAGAATTGCGAATCTTTATGCCTTCTTCAGGCGTGAGCGGTGAAAGGCTCGCGAAGAGCGCATCGAACGCAAAAAGTGCCTCATCAAAAACAAGATGGCACTAAATGGGAGATGCAATATCATTCCCTCTACAATCTACCTTCGCAAAGAATAAACAGAAGCGGCTCAGATGAGAGAATGTGAGACTCTGAACAAAATAATACAAGGACACGTTGCAACAAAAAAGCGTATCTTGATCGCAACTACAAAAACTGGGAGTGGGACCTCAAGCGACAGCGACAAGTGAACAGCGACAAGTAGTGCAAAAATCGCAAACCAATATGAAGCAGCCTGGACCAGTTACAGAAGCTTGGTCTAATGCAGCGACCGCAGCACAGACTGCCTCTCAGCACAGCGTGGTACTGGCCGGGCCGCGGCGCCGGTCGGCGCGAGGCCCTCTGAAGCAGGTGAGACCGACATCGAGACTCACCGAGAACGAGCAGGCACAGCGCCTCAGGTTGGCAACCGAGCCAGCCAGCTGCACCATGGGTGGCTGGCGGGACAGAGGGCCATCATAGCGCTACAGAGGGCCACCACATCCAGCTACCGACAGGGGCCATGACAGCCAGCTACAGGTACATGGCCACCATAGTGCTTAAGACACAACATACCCAAACAAAGTCCCCTTACGTCTTTGTGGAGACCAGTTCGGCAGAGCCCTGCGCACCCAGCGAAAAGGATGGCAACTATTAAACTCAGGCCACACATTGCGTAGCAGATGGCTGTAGCATATGTAGGAGACTCTCCTAAGGAGAGTAGTGTAATGTGTATGCCTAAGTAGTTAAATTCTGCTCATGTTGCACAATGCACACACTATCAAGCTGCTGAGAATGTGTGGGTGTAATATTTGTCCAGAGTAAGATTGAGCATGAAGTTGATGAACACTTCTGTGTCCATTGAAGATGATATGTGTGGATTGTTATGGTCTCAAGCTCTCATTTTTAGCAGCCAGTTGCTGGCTCCTGCCTGAAGCTATATCTTCTATTCCCACAGAGACAGGACTGACCGGTCCTCTCCTGACAACACTTAGAGAAGGCAACTGACAGGCATCAGGTGTGCAGGCTGGGTACAGATTATCTGCCCATGGACTGGAACACTACAGTTTGCAAGGGACAAAATTAAAAAAAAAAAACACCCATTCAAACTTCAGTTGGAATGAAAATCTCAGCTCAACGGGTCTGTTCCCGTCGCTCCTCCCAAAAAATCTCGGATGAGGTTGGATGAGCTTGGAGGAGAGCCGTTTCAGAGGAGCCACGGGAACATTTTCGCGAGGAAATCAGCTGTTTGCGGGCTGTAACGGTCGGCGATTTGTGGCGCGCAAACATAAATCAAGAGATAATAATCGCTTTCTAATAAAATAACCTTAGATTAATATGAAACATTACTATTTAAAGGGACCCTCCCACCTTAACATTAGATTTGAGTTGAGATAGCCAAAATGGGGTCCCTGGCTCACAATTACCGGTTTCGGCACTCACAACATCGAGAAATGCCTTAAATCAGAAATATTGAATTTCAAAATTGCAGCATTTTGATTCAGAGGGGCTAATGCTTAGGAATACCCCTCTGAATGTGTGACGTCAGCGCAGATATCTAACGACTTTTAAATGTTTGACTAAAACGTTTTGTAGCACGCGGTGGTATATGCTATTTGCGCGCAACATCTGCCGCAAACGCCGCACTTCTAAAATAAAGTCGCTAGAAACAGCGGAGATCCCAAAAAAGTAAACAAAAGTAAAAGTCAAATATTTTGAAAACCGGTGAATATTTTTCGGTGAAATTTGGTAGATATTCGTTTTCGCTCTTTCTGAACCGAGCGACATCACTTTCATGCCAATTCATAAACTTTTTTGAAGGTGGGAGGGTCCCTTTAAAGATATCCAATCGTCATCAATCACTAAAATCATTTCTACTTCCCACAAATCTCATTTATAAACAATTCACATTTGTATTACGTGCGCCAAATATGTCTACGCAAGAGCCTCCTCCAAAAAACCAACTTTCGTTTGGGATGAGGGAGGAGGCAAATAGTGGTGGTAAGATGTGAAATCAAGATGAGCTTGGATGAGCTTGGAGGAGCGACGGGAACGATTTTTTGAAACGAGAGGAGGTTAGAGGAGCTTGGAGGAGGTTAGAGGAGCGACGGGAACAAACCCGTTGTGTTTTTACAGCAAAGCTGATATTTTAGAAAAAGGGAAAAAAACTAAATGGAAGAAAAAGGTGAAACCTGGCACATAAAGATTGCTCTGGATCACAAATCTATCCTAGGATATTGGCCTGGCTGAGCACCTCCAGTTGAAATTCTTGACAATATTTACCTTCTTGACTAGAGGCTCTATAGCAAGTTTTACTGGAGGCACAGGAATGCAATCTGGAGATTTCTGGAGATTGGTGTCAGGGATATCAAAAGAATGATGATGGTTCACAAACAAAATTTGTTTTCAATTTTAGTTAAAAAAATTTAGAAATTATAATGTTATTTTCTCTACACCTAAATTGTAAAATTGACAGTCAATAGTCCATTGTGTATCTTTGTAATTGTCACATGTTGATGTGTGCAATAATTATAGACCAGAGCCTCCAGTGAACTTCCAGGGCACCTAGCCTAGCTGCCTATCTAACTGCTTAAAGGAAATAGTTCACTTTCACGAAATTATTTTTTTTGCAATGGATTTGTGATTTTTTATGTTCAAAATGATCAGCAAAGAAAATAAAACCTTTTTACAACAAAAGATTATTTTCTATATTTTTGATAAAGGAAGAACTTTTCAGTTTCTGTAAGGCACACGCGATCCAGTATGAAAAGAGCATGGGTCCCGAAAATTCTTCAGAAACTGAAAATTATCGCGGCCACCGGCATTTGGGCGATCTGCTCGTGCTTTTGTTACTGGAGCGCCTCACTGGAGCGAATTTCTCTAGAGTTCTCGTAGATAATTACTGTAGTTTCTGAAGAATTTTCGGGACCCATGCTCGTTTCATACTGGATGCGAATATATGCAAGGCACACATCCTCAACGCAAGACACATTTTTCGGGACGAGAAATAGAATATCTTTGCCTAGGGTGATCGTTGGGCTGTAAAAGCTCCTGATTTATGCTCATCTCAGCCCAAGCTACGGAACTGCTATTCCAGTTCAAAACCCATGTTAAAATGTGAACTATTTCCTTTAAACAACCAGTCTGAGTCCTGCTCGCATCAAGCCTTAGCCCTCCATCCAACAACAAGGACTGAAAATAAAACTTAACACTACACATCACACAAAGTGCATTTGAGCTTGAAAAAAGTTTCAATGAGTTACAAGGCAAAATAATAAATGGCAATATTGGCAAATGTTTTGCTGAACTGTTGTAAGCCAGCGAAGGTCACAGTAGAAAGAGGTGAATCAGTATAAAACATTTGAAACAAGTACTGCCATTTTACCGTCATGAGTGAAAGTAAGCTTTTAGCAAATTAACTCATCTTTTAATTTGCAATGACTGAACAGTGATCCATAATCGTGACGCCAAATGATGGTGCTTTTGAGCATGAACACTGACGTGACACAAAACATTACAAATTCGGCGCAGAAAAATGCAACGAATGGATTATTACTTTTGAGCCATTCGCACCCAGAAGCAAAGAAAGATGAAACTCACCTGGCCGGCTTACAGTTGACTTTCCACCGACTCAGGATGATCCTGGCAAACTTCGGAAATTCTTTTGTTTACATCCACGGCGTAACCTCTGCGCAACCTCTTCGTCGACAGCAATGGCCGCCACAATAACAAGGTCACGTGACCATCTGTAGCGACATCTCTTGCATGTACAAGTAACCACTAGTACGCTTCATTTTGGCTAGTGTCTATAGAGTCTCGGCTAGGGTGAAGCTAGTGCAAATTATGCAGTTTTCGATTTATTTATATGAGCACCTGGGACATGATACATACGGGTTTTTACATTATCTCACCAACATACACATACGCCCATACACATGGAGGCGGTCGGGGTCTTTTCTAGGCCTTGGTCTTTCCACCGCCGGTCGGGGTGCCGCTCAGACCCTGTGCGATCCCTATGAGCACTAAGGCCCTATATGAGCTCAGGGCTCAGGCCCTATCAATAGGGCCTTGGTGCTCCCTGACGCGCCCCGCCGGCTCCCTCCACGCTGACTGCTCGGTTGGCGCACAGGTCTTTGTGGCAGTAGAAGAATATACATCCGTTTCCTTTATCTCATGCGGGCTGCTCCCTTGAGCGGCACCGCTCCTCCCGAGGGAGCGCACCCCGTAGCCGGGTGCAGTGAGTGCCTTGGGGCTGGGTGGCCTGTCCTATAGACGGGCTCAGCCCCGGCGACTCACTAGGGTGCCTGCCCAGACCAATGTCTCCCCCTGTATCCTATCATCCTCCCGGCTCTGAAATGGTCTCATTGGACCGAAAGGGCCTAACCCAACAAAACAAAAACATCCGTTTCTCTGGTGATCGCCCAGAACTTCGGCCACGTCGACGCAGCTGACTCGGTTCGTCATAATGGTGCCATCGGTCCGGCTGGGTCCGGCAGTCCCTATGGCTGTCGACGCAAGTTCTCGAGTTGACGCCTTGCGAGTTCTCGAGATATCATCCGTGATTGTACTTCCCTTTTCCCGGCTGACAGCGATCGTTCATTCGCTCAACGCACGGTACAGGCCAGGGCACTAAAGAGGCACTAGACATGGCAATAGAAATAGAAGGGTTCTATGTCTAGTAGCTGTATGGCCATCGGCCACTGGTCAGTGTCTACACTTTGGTACCGCTACCAACGTGACGAATAGGTACAGATTATTTGTTGTTTGTACGTTGCGGCGTGCAGCGTTGGCCATACCAAGACTATTACATCGCCGGCGCTGCGCTCAGTTACAATGTCAGAGAAGTCGAAATCGTGAGTTCGGCGGACCGAATCAACGCATGCAGTGCCACACGGTCACTTCCCCCCTTAGCAGCCCACAGCTACCCAGTACGTTTGTCGTCGCCATTTCGAGATATTTGATGAAGAGACCAGGACCAACACAAATCGCACAGTCAACAGAGGTGGCTCTCGGCGATCAGCTGATCTGCACACAGTAGTGACGATTGACTCCTTCCCTGTAGCCTTCCTCTCCAACCCACACGTCCCCTGCTCCAGCAGACGAGTCCCCGGCTACACGGGAGCTGAGGGACGCTCCCACTGCCGGTCACGGGAGCTGAGGGACCCTCCCACGGCGGTCACGGGAGCTGAGGGACCCTCCCACTGCCGGTCACAGGGCCCCCGAGGCGCCCGCACCCCCCCCCCCCCCCCCGTCAGATCCAGCCCGGGAGTGACGCACACTGCTGACCACACGTCCTCAACACAGCCCGGCCACCCGATACATTATACCGTTTTATTATACAGAACCTTTACAAAGCTACATCAGACTCTAAATAACTGCAAAGCAGCTCAACAAACCGGCTGTATTTCGTGTAATATGGATGCATGAATATTTAAGCCAAATGAGAAAAATACTCGTAACGGCATAGCTATGTCATTCGCAAGGGCGCGATTGCCGCCTTACACCGTGGGCGCCGGAAAGAGGAGAGAGAGAGAGAGAGAGAGAGAGAGAGAGAGGAGAGGGAGAGACAGAGGACAGCAGAGCGAGAAGTGGAGAAGAAAATGGAGGAGAGAGAGGAAGGAAAGGAGATGAGGGAAAGGGAAGAGAGGGGAAAAGGAGGAAAGTCGCCCGCTCGACGGGAGGACCGGCAGTCCGCGGTGGAAAAGGACGAGAAAGTGAGAGTGAAAGTCCGAAACGCGTGTATCACAGGCACCTACACGACACGTGTTTACATATCATGGCGCGGCGCCGACAGCCGCCGCCGGCTCGGTTCGCTCGCGGCGGCGGGCGCGCGCGGAACGCGCCTCACTTACCGACTAGTCATTCGCTCGTGCACTCGCCACACGTAACGCACCGTGGTTAGCGGAGCCTTTGAGAGGAACATGTGACGTAACAGAAAAGCCGCAACAGAATCATGCACCCTTACCTAAATGAGCGAGTTCACTGTAAACTAGACGACTATCTATGTATGTATAGGTATATCCCAGGGGGCGCTGCCGCTGCGCCGGGGGTATCAGACGCCCCAGCCGAGCTACCGCCCCCAGATTTACTTCAGGCCGCACCCCGGCTAACTCTCATATTCATGATTTAATACGATCCACGGCCACGCTCTCCGATACACAGTTCAGCAGGCGCGCCACGGTAGATGTGGGGGCTTCGCGTCGCGTCGCGCGTCACTTGACATAAAGCTGGGCTGAGTGAGGGCACACGAGTCCGCTTTCCCCGGATAAACAGGCGAGACGCCGCGCCGCGCCGCATGCCCAGTCCTTCTAAAGTCCGCTCCAGTCCGTCCAGTCGGGGGCAGTTGGGGCAGGTCGCGTCAAGTCAGGTCAGGTCAGTCAGAGTCAGAGTATGAGCAGGTGTGCGAAGTTCGTCGGTGATTAAGCCGGACCAAGGAGAAACTGAAAGAAATCAGCTAGTGGTCTCGAATTTAAGCATTGAACAGCAGCGGCTAGTAAATATTCTAAGATGTCTCAATACTAGCACCGGTCCGGTAAACGCGACCCGTAAACTCAAATAACGAGCCACATGGAGCGGCATCTGCCCTGCCGTCGGCGTAATGTCGGCGGTCGGTCCGAGTCTGCTGGGGCGCCGTCTGGGTCCGTCCGTCGGTCAGTCGCGGTGGCCGGGGCGCGCCGTGCGCCGGCCTCAGCAGCCGCACGCCTCCTGCTTGTTCCGGCTGTCACCCGTCAGCCGGATCTGGTCGGGGAACTCGTTGTACAGCTCCACCTCCGACTCCTGAGCCAGCGCGTTCTTGGCGATCGTCTGGAACGCCTGCTCCACGTTGATGGCCTCCTTGGCGCTCGTCTCGAAGTAGGGAATCTCGTTCTTACTGTGACACCACTGCTGCGCCCGCTTGGTGGGCACCTGTTGGGGCAGGGACGGACAGTGGTTAGCGACGGCCGGCGGTCAGAGGCCCGACCCCAGGGTACCTGCTGCGCCCGCTTGGTGGGCACCTGTTGGGGCAGGGACGGACAGTGGTTAGCGACCCGACCCCAGAGTACCTGCTGCGCCCGCTTGGTGGGCACCTGTTGGGGCAGAGACGGACAGTGGTTAGCGACCCGACCCCAGAGTACCTGCTGCGCCCGCTTGGTGGGCACCTGTTGGGGCAGAGACGGACAGTGGTTAGAGACCCGACCCCAGAGTACCTGCTGCGCCCGTTTGGCCGGCATCTGTCGGCGCAGAGACGTCAGAGACCCGGCCACAGGATGGACATGGACGAGACTCGGAACTCTTACGAAAACGGCAAATGTTCTTACAGTAAGCTGAAATATGAGCGGCCAACATCAGCTGTAATTATTATCCAAAGGTTGGCGGGGAAAAGGGATTAACAACTATAAAAAGCAGAAATCAAAATCACACTTATTCATTACATATAAAAAGGGATTTTGTATTTGAAATCACAGTTGCTTTATCAATCCTTTATTACAACGTCCGTCACACCAGTGCCTTACCAGTCAGCAGCCGACGATAGCCTCAATTCCATCCCTTGTGATACAAATTACAAGTGCATGTGTGTGCATCAGCGGTGTATGGGAGAAGAGGGTGTGAGAGTCCCCTAACGCAGACACATTAGAAAGTCCACCACAAGAAACATGGGTCGGATTCCAGGCAGTAGTTTCACCTTCAGTCATACTCTGGAATTTCGTAACGTGATGACTAAAAAAGTTTATAGCCATTAAATACTGCTCGGCTTCAGGGGCCAATCTTACCAAATGCCGTGAATGCGCATTCACGGCATTTGGTAACATTCAGAACTATTCCGCATTCACTTATTCATTCGTTCAGGCAACATTAATAATCATTCACGTAGTCAAAATCATTGGACAAGATTAGCTAGATGTAAATAAAAAGGATATCTTTGATATCAGTGCCGTAAACTCCGGCCAGTGCTGCCAAATCCTATTCACGGCATTGGTAAGATTGGGCCCAGGTGCGTGATCAATCAATGCTACTATGCCCATATTTGGTCGACCTTTCCATGCTGCCGCACCAGGCGGCGGCGACAAGCCAGCCAGCTGCGCATGCAACTCGAACAAAACTGGAACCGTGCACCTCGTGAAAACAATGACGGTACCCATGATAGTCATTAATTGGCCAGGGAGCCCGACCATCCTCAATATTTCAAGGCAATGCTTGATAGGTACGAGGCATTACAGATGCTCGCTGTCGGACTTTGGTCCTCATCTTGCGTAGAGATGTAAGATTGACTACATTCAGTATCTGGCCGAAACGTTGAGAAGCTAGCATCTCCACATAGGACGGGGTCGAAAGTCCGTTAACCAATATCGACAATCGCCACACTCAACCGGTGACAGTCCCAACAACTATCGACAACAACTGTCAAACCGCCTTTGTGTGGGCCATTGTAGTTACCCCACGAAGCGCAGGCCTCGAGGGCTGACCAGATAAATTAGACAAAAACACGTTTCGTAACCGCCGTGGTGAGACAGTACAGCTGCCGGGAAGTCGAGCGGCTGATACTGTTCGGCTGTTTGCGCCCTTCCACTGCGGAGCTGCCGGACTGGGGACGACCCGACCAACCGGTGGGCGAGGCGCAGCACCATAACGAACAGCCGAACACGAGAGGCTGTGACCAGAAACCCATCAAGGTGGAGGGCGAGCCAGACATTACACAGCTTACGATCGGCAATATATATTAACACATGGTTTCCCGTGTGTAAATGGTTTTAACGCACGACGTGGATGGATTGGAGCACGAGTGTGTTAATGCACGAGTGAAACGAGTGCATTAACGCACAAGTGCTCCATTCCATCCACGAGTGCGTTAAAACCATTTATGCACGGAAACCATGTGTTAAACTAATTAATACATGCTTAACGGTGCGAATTTGAATTAAAATTAAACTTAGTCCATGACACTAAAAGGGCCTTTTATGGGAATTCTTAGAATAAAGTCAATGACCCTTCCGAAAAACTTCAGCTGAGAAAGTCATCACTGCACGCGCGTGCACCAATTCAAATTGGTGCACGGCTACCTTCGAATTAACGCACGGTTAATCTCCAGTGAACGCACCGTAAAGTATGTATTAATATACATTTATAAACAGAGTTCGGAACTGGCCAGTCATACCGTGAAATATCATGCGCCGTTCAACAGGAATATAGGACAATGACCTCTGAACGCTGAAACAAAGTGCTCCCGCACCAGGATACGGGTTAATGACCCCTACTCCGCCAATGCACCCAATGCACTATGACAGTAGGTACTCGTCGCTGGATATGGGACACTGACCTTGGGCTGTACCCACATGCCTATAAAGAATGATTGTCCTCATCCGACATTAATCGCCCTCATCGCGTAACCCTTGCAATGCTGGGAGATAGAGCAGTGTACGAAGTTGAACAATGGGACAATATGAAAACAAATGCCTGTAATAGGACTCCGAGACGTTTATCAGAAGAGCCGATATCCGAGTGTATCTTCCCATGGACCGGGAAACGAAATGGAGTTGGGCAGTCAGCGCCATTGACGACCTTCGAAAATGACCCAAATAGACCAGCATGAATGCAAAGAAGACTATGGAGAAAAGGTTCATCCTCCCCTCCCCGAAAGCGAACTACAGCATTTTAGCAGGGATCTATACAAGTTCATCGTAGCTCTTACTAGAACAAGCGAAATGCCAATTTTGTCGGTGGCGAAGCTCCATCGACCACCGGGCACGCGATTAGCCTTTCATGAGCCGTCTGACGACATGCAGTGGGGGTTGCATAACGGGTGGTGCGGGGACGGCTCGTCCGCGGGCCGGCCGCACCCTCCAGGTGCCGCGGTCCGGCGGCGCCTCGGCGCCAGCTCGGAGGGATCGATGGTCCGGCAGGATGCAGCCATGACTCAGCGTCCGCTCATCCCGCCACATCCCCCCGACAGCCGCGAGGGCGTCATCAAACGGCCGGGCCGCCGTCCGGCCGGCGAGATCAACATGTGACAATGTGTGGGAGGCGGTTTGGATGTTCACGGCGCACCAGAAACAAAGCCGTCGCCTCCGTCGCCACGGCTAGACACCTAGCACGGCTCGATTTCCTTAGCACGTCTCCTCCACAGCGCATGTGTGATTAGCATGTGTAATGTGTATCTTGGCGACTTGGAGTGTATGATGAGGGCCGGGGGGTTACATCCCCCTGTGTCCCAGATATGGCAAAGGAGGCTCACCCTGCCCGCCAACCCTTCTCTCATTTCCCAATTCAAGGCACAGTTGTTCCAGGCCCAGAACCCCAGTCTACTCTCGGCGTGGTTATCGTTAATTACCCTCTCCTCTGTCTAGCACAGAACCCCAGTCTACTCACGGCGTGGTTATCGTTAATCACTCTCTCTTTCCTCCGTCTATTCACGTCGCAGGGTCCACCCTCCCCCTTTCAGCCCATCAGTCTTCTACTCACGGTGCAGTAATTGTACCCCCTCAGTTTACTCGAGGCACGGTTGTCAACGGTCTCCCCTTTCCGTGTACCTACTCACGGCGCGGTTGTCAACCCTCTCCCCCCTCAGTGTACTCACGGCACATTTGTTAACCCTCTCCCATCCCCTCCCTCAGTGTACTCACGGCGCGGTTGTCGAGGTCCACCTTGTTGCCGAGCACCACGAACGGGAAGTGGTCCGGGTCGCGCGGACTGGCCTGGATCAGAAACTCGTCCCGCCACGAGTCCAGCGACCGGAACGTGTTGGGACTGGTCACGTCGTAGACGAGCACGCAGCAGTCGGCGCCCCGGTAGAACGCCACGCCCAGCGACTGGAAGCGCTCCTGGCCGGCCGTGTCCCAGATCTGCCGGCGGTGGACCGTCAGTCGCCGTCAGCGGCGGCCACACAGTCAGTCCGAGTCGCCGTCAGCGGCGGCCACAGCCAGACAACCTCAGCTCTCTATCGCTAGTGCGTACCAACCAATGAGAAAAACAACATACATTGGTCCCCCCAGGCCAGAAAGAGTTACTTTATGAGATGTTTTTCGTACTCCAGCGTAGATGGGTAGCCATACGGCTTCCACGGTTGACAGTGATGACATCAGTCATCTTTTGCAAGCTCGTTAAAGATTTGGGCTGTACGGGGATTAGTTAGTAAAGTAACTCTTTAGTAAAGAGTTACTTTACTAAAGACATTCCGTTTCTTACCTGCATTGTTACAAGTCGGTCATCAACCATCACTTCTTTTGTAAGAAAATCTGCACCGATGGTAGCTTTGTACTGATTGGAGAACTTCCTATTGACATACTGGTTCATCAATGAGGTCTTTCCAACACCTGAATCACCCAAAATGATGACTTTCAGCAACACCTTCTTTCGTGGTGATGCCATTGTGAATTGTGTATTATCTGAAAAAGAGAAAAGGTCATTTGAAAAAGGCATCACTATATCAATGCAACTGCTTGAAATGGCACCACCAATGTCAATTTCATCATGAGTAGGTATTAACCCTCGCATGTGTACGGGGGGGGGGGTCGGATGGACCCCCCATGGTTTTTCGCGAATAACTCGCGCAAAAAGCCGCCGATCGCGACGAAACTTTCAGTACCCTCAAGTTGATCAATTTTACACTCACCCTGAAAATTTCATGACCCTGGCCCAAGTGACCTTTGACCTGTGACCTATTTCTCGAGGCCATGTTTGGCCGGAATCGCGATTCGGCGTGTGTCGGCTCGCATTAGCCGCGCGTTTGCAAGCTTCTCGTGGTGTCAAACGTTCAAACATGTGATTTGATGTTGCTCCCATGCATTTGGGTGGATATCAAGGTCACCTGAAGGTCAGGTCAGGTCCTTGACCTTTGGTGACCTCGGTTCACTTTCTCAAGCTTCACATGTTTCTAGGCCAGTTTTTGGAGCTGAATTCGAATTTTGAAACTATTTGAACATTTACGAAGTAGTTTTGGTGCCTTCGTAACATTTAACGAAGCTGTCAGAGGCGGTTGATACGTACTACGAATACCCGTCACGACCCCTACCGGTTGACCTGACCTGACCTGACCCGACATGGTCTAAATGCTTACAGACATCATCTGTGATCAAAACTAACACGATATTCGTGATCAGCACCCCGAAAAAAACCCTTGGCAGCCACACTTTACGACTTTCTAACAGGTCCCGATTTTCCCGACTTTTGGGTCATTGACCTGACCTGGAAGGTCAACCAATGGCCTAGGACCTTAAAATTGGGTATCATCGGCTTCCTCTCGTCACGGGCAACACGCTCGTTTTTTCCGCGAAGCTCTAGCTCGATCAGGGGCCAAACACGAGGGGGAGTCGTACCAACCCCCTCTTCTCTAATCTCTTGTGCCGTCGAAGGACGCAAAATGACATGTGCCGGCGAGGGTTAGTTTTGATCACAAATGATGTCTTCATGCATTTGAGCCAGGTCGGGTCAGGCCAGGTCAGGTCAACCAGTAGGCATCCAGCCAGCTATCTATAGTACATAGAATAGCAAAATTATATGGACATCTTTTTTAGCCATATCTGCCCTCATAGTTTTAGTTCTGATGTAAGAAGTGGGGAAATTGGAGGAAGGTGTCTTAATGGCTCAAGAATAGCCATTTGGACTTATGATGTACTTTGATTGATATGTTTCTCACCAATGAATTTTGTAATAATTTATTAAACAAAAGATAGTGTTCCAAAAAATAGGCTGATTTTATATGATGGTGTACATAAAAGATTAAAAATGATGGTAAATTTATTGTGTTGTTGATTTACATACCTATCCTCACAGTTTGGAGTCATACTTCAGTATGTTCTACAGGGAGTTGAGCAGTATTTGAGAACAAATCTTTTCCTTTTTCATTTTTCCATCAATCATGACATTTTCAGGGCCCTGTTTCACAGGTGATAACAGCATGCTGCTATTACACGTGTCAAATTGGGTTTCCATGGGGACATCAACTAGTCTATTCCTCTGGCACTACCAGAAGTGAAATCAGTCTCATCTTTGTCAAAAAAAGCAGAATCGTTGTCATTTTAGCATGTGTGACAAAAATAGCTTGTGCTTAAAATGACAGCTATTGATCAAACCTCCCCTGACTGAAGGGAGGTAGTGCTGTCACAGGATGATTAAATAGAGCACTCCAATTTAAGCTTATTTCCCTGGTAAGTCACCAACTGAAGGGCAAACATGCAAGCAAGACAAGTTAATATTTGTATTGATATGTAACAATCTCCAGTTGAAGATGTTGACAGATGCTGCTGTCCTTTCATATGAACATCTTTAGCTCTCAAATCAACACTGCACAGTTAAAAGGACCCTCCCACCTTCAAAAAAGTTTATGAATTGGCATGAAAGTGATGTCGCTCGGTTCATAAAGAGCGAAAACGAATATCTACCAAATTTAACCGAAAATATTCACCGGTTTTCAAGATATGGGACGCCATCTGCCTTGATCTTCTGCTCCAAGACTGGACGTTTCTGAACACGGAGGGCGACATCAACACGATGGTGGAGAAGTTCACGGCGACATGGTGGGAGGTCATCGACCGGCACTGCCCAGCCCGCACGAGGCGCTACCGACGCGCTGGCTGCCCATGGATCACGGACGATCCTGACCTCCGTGAGGCGATGGCGGAGCGGGACGCGGCGTATCGAGCCTGGCTTGACCTGCGCACCCCCGAGTCACGAGCCGATTTCTGTCGTCGGCGTAACTCGGTCAAGGGTCGGCTGGCGCGAGCCCGTCGAGAGTTTCTCGGCCGCCAGCTCGTGACCTCCGATCGCCGCCAGTTCTGGAGCAGCCTGAAGCGGTTTTTCCTGACCTCTGACTCGGCAGCGCCCACCTCAGACTCCAGTCAGGGCGAACTGCAGGCCAGGGCTGACAGCTTCAACGACTTCTTCTCGTCAGTGGGGTCGAAGATCGCGGACGACCTGAGGGACGATGTCGCGGCTGGGCGGCCACCTCGCCCGCCCATCGTTGTGTCATCGGCCTTCCGTCTCGCGCCGGCCACTCTGCCCGAGCTGGGCAGAGCGGTTAGAGAGATGAACTCGTCCGGGGCTGTCGGTCTGGATCGCGTGCCCCTTAGTGCCGTGAAACGCTGCTTTCCTGTGATTGGCCCGCACTTGTTGAAAATTGTCAACACATCAATGATAAAATGCTCGTTCCCGGACGCGTGGAAAATCGCCGAGATTGTGCCTATATATAAGGGGAAGGGCGATATAGATCAGGCCTCGAACTATCGTCCCATTTCACTTTTGTCTCATCTGGCAAAACTTACAGAGAAAATGGTCTGCAATCAACTGTCTCGGTACCTAACTGATAACAACATTCTGTATCACAGCCAATATGCCTACAGGTCGTGCCACTGTACAGAGGACGCCGTGCTCGACGCTGTCGATTGGATCAACCGTAACTCCGAGAGGGGTGAAATATCATCGATTACGGCCGCTGACCTCAGTAAGGCCTTCGACAGCGTCGACCACGGCGTCCTCCTATCAAAGCTAGGATGGTACGGAATCGATCCTGGATGGTTCCGGAGCTACCTGAGTGGCCGGGGGCAGCTGGTGAAGGGTGGATCGGCGACATTGCCGGTCAGCTTCGGCGTCCCTCAGGGCTCGATAGCCGGACCGATCCTCTTCAGCCTGTTCACAAATGACTTGCATTGTCACTTGCCGGGCTGCCGAGTGATTGCGTACGCTGACGACACCCAGCTGCTCGATCACTCACTGCCCGATCCTCAAAACTTAGCTCAACTCAAAGTGCGCATAGAAAACTCTTTGGATTCGCTGCAGCTCTGGTTCCGATCAAATTCGCTAAAAATGAACCCTACAAAAACAGACTTTTGCATCATCGGCACTCGGCAAGCCATCAAAAACACAAACAACTTTCATATCACCATAGAGGGCGTGGTCACAAAGCCCTCGCCATGCATCAGGCTGCTTGGTGTGACCATAGACCCATGTATGTCCTGGGAAATTCACATGGGACTAATCGTCAAAAGGTGCAACGCCCTACTGATTTCACTTTACCGTTTCCGTCACCACTTTAATAGCGAAATCATGAAACTTATCATTGAAACGCACGTCTTTCCCCACATTTTGTATTGCATCTCGGTCTGGGGCGGAGCGATAAAAACACAACTTGCTCGCATCCAAAAACTTATAAAGTTCAGCGCTCGCATCGTGACAGGCGTGCGGTGTCGGGAGAGGGTCGGTCCGGCTGTGGTATCCCTGGGCTGGAAGCAGGTGGAGCGGCTGGTGCGGGAGAGGGACCTCCTGAAAGTGTACAAAGCTCTTCACCAGCAGCTTTGTCCGCCCGCCATCCGCACCATGTTCGTCCAGAGATCCACTGTGTCCAGCCGGACAACGCGCTCATCTGAGGCCGGCGATCTCGAGCTGCCCAGATGCCGACTGTCGGCCACTCAGAGGGGGTTCTGGTACCGTGCAGCTGCCTCCTGGAACCAGCTGTCCCCGACTGTCACTGGACAGCAGACACTGTCCTCCTTCCGGGCGTCGCTTCGCCGCGTGATGTGATGTGCTGCTGCCGGATGAGACTGTGATGCTTTTTAACCTGGCTGTGTAAGCGCTACTTTCACGATCACCCCTGTGTTGCTTTTATTTGTTTTAACCGTATACCTGTATGACGCAACTCCTGAAAAACCATGTCTTATGGATGGATTTTAGCAAATATACATACATACATACATACATATTAGACTTTAACTTTTGTTTACTTTTTTGGGATCTCCGCTGTTTCGAGCGACTTTATTTAAGAAGTGCGGCGTTTGCGGCAGATGTTGCGCGCAAATAGCATATACCACAGCGTGCTACAAAACGTTTTAGTCAAACATTTAAAAATCGTTAGATATCTGCGCTGACGTCACACATTCAGAGGGGTATTCCTAAGCATTAGCCCCTCTGAATCAAAATGCTGCAATTTTGAAATTCAATATTTCCGATTTAAGGCATTTCTCGATGTTGTGAGTGCCGAAACCGGTAATTGTGAGCCAGGGACCCCATTTTGGCTATCTCAACTCAAATCTAATGTTAAGGTGGGAGGGTCCCTTTAAAGCCTGGGAGTATTTATAAGCATCAGCATGTAGGAAAATCGTTTTTAAAATAAAAAAAAATTGGCAATTCTTTTAAGTCAAGGGACCACGATGAAACATGAGGATAACAAGCCCAATTTCTTAAATGAAATGCAATAAATGACAAAATTTCAAAAGACATACTTACATTAACAACCCAAAGGGGTTTGGCTCTTCAAAAGCCTCTAAATTGAAACAAAACTTTCCGAAAACACCACGTAATCATGTAACAACGGGCAATATGGCGTCAGCCTTGTTTGTCGTAACTGCGTTGGATCAGCTGATTCATGTCATACTTCTGTTTTATTGTTTTTTACCTTTATTTTATAGATTTTCTATAGAAACTAAAAATATTCAGATAATTTTGATCTGAAGGAATGGAGTTCTAATCGTATTTTCAACAGCTAAAATATTTTATTTAGCTCCTGAACTTAATTTTTACATTTATGAATGGTAAAGGACAAACACGACGCAAACAAATTATTGTGTGCTCCTGGCTCCACAAGCAAGAAGGTGTTGTGCTCATTTGAATTTGAATGAATTCAAATTCGTCTTTTAACTATGTATTTTGGAAATAGATCTATTCGTACTCCATGACATATCTTCATTAAATTTCGTATTTTTTTATTCCACTCACTCGTCCATAAATCTGCTATATGGAACACTCACTAATTGCCTCAAATTTGGTTTTTTTCCTTGATGATAATATTTCCGCAAAGTTAAAAGGACATAAGGTTCAATGACAAGATTATGCTGACCTTTTATCAACTCTTTTCCTCGGCATTGTCCGAATTGGTGTCATTAGTAGGCACCCATCAGTCATGACCTTGGCCTTGAATTTTGAGCATGTCATCAGATTCCCCACACTCTAAACTCTCTTCTTTCATGTTCCACCCATTTTAGCCTGTTTTAGGAATCATGCGTCCTGCTTTCCTCTGGAACATTTAGCCCCCGCCCCGTAGGGCTCTCGGCGGACCCTGCCACGCCACCCGTAGGGGGTCTGTTTCAGCCCCCTCTAAGATCTCGGAAAGTTGCCAGCTGATTTTCAAAATTCAAACGTTATTGGATAGCCCTACCTTGGAACTACCTTGTGACCCATTTTCATTGACCTCTGTTGATGACGTCACAGATCAGGTCAAATGTCAAATTTTCACAGTTTACAGGCATTTCAAGAAATGTGTTGTAAAATAAAGTAAAAGGCATGTTATTGAACAAGCCGCCGGTCCCGTAGCTCAGTTGGTTAGAGCGTTGGACTCCACGTGGTGAGAGCACGCGTCCCCGGTTATGACAGTCCGGGTTCGAAGCACGACGGGCGCTCGACATTTATGGGCCTCCTGACAGGTATGGTTGCGGTTGGTGGCAGGCCGTAGCCAGGCGAAGTCAGCGAGGGGACCGGCCGTGCGCGGCTTTGTGGGCACGTTAAACTTTGGACTCTAAATTCTGCCATAGAATCGGAATTGTGCGATTGGAGGGTAGAGGGCAGGGTCATCGCAACAAGCTTTGCTTAGCGGTGGCTCTGTCCTTGTGAATCCTTCCCATCAAAAGGTTCGGACTAAGTCAGATCAATGAAGGGTCAAAATACAAAAGTGTTGTGTGATACATGTTTTGACTTTTGTGGCCCATTTTGCTTGACAAATGCAGCAATGATTGTGTGTCAGGCAACCTTTGGAGCCAGTTTAGTTACGTTCTGGTGAAGGTCAGCGGTCGGGTCAAATTAGGTCATTTTCAAAGTTGCTAGTTTTGCATAAAATGGATATCGATTTGATGCAGCTCGTCACGGGGAGTCTAATGGTGGTCTTTGTTTTACGCTATGTCGTCTAGTATTGCTAAAAATTGAGTTTGAAAGTTTGACATCAATTTTGAGTGGTGTTTTTGCTATAACTTGGCAAAAAGAAGAGGTATCAATGTCAAATTTGGTATTTGGATAGGTGGTAGGGACTATCGTATATATTCCGTTTTTTTCAAAATTCTTTATTTTTTATTTTTGGTCCAATAAATCTATAAAATGACTTTTTATATTTGAGACCATTGTTTTGTTTTAGGGTGAAGCAAAATGGTACCACTCTTTCCAACAATAACAACAGAAGATGGCTCATCAAATAATCAGAAGCCAATTTCCATCCAGAGGCTGGTTCCTCAACAGACAACTGCTACACATCAGTTCAAGGTAAGTCATTTCATGTTAACCCTCGCACGACCAGGCCATTTCTCATAACACGAACGACCAGGGGGGGGGGGGGGGGTTGTTACGACCCCCCCTGGCGTTTCGAAACGGAAGGTCGTAGAGCTTAGCGGAAAAAACCAACGGATTGCTCTCAACGAGATCTCGCGATTGGTGGTATATTTTTGGTCCTAGGTCAACATTTGACCTACTTTTGACCGGTCAAAGGTCAAATTTTCGGAAAAATAGACTTTTTTCCACTTTCGGCGGCGATTGCGGCAAAACGGTGGGAGATATCGACTTGAAACCTTCACTATCGTGTTCCTTGATCAATTCTCTATCGTTTGGTATGTATTTCGTTTCCCTAGCTCTAAAAATGGCGCGTTGGGAGCGCCGGAAGTCGGCAAGGTCACAGTCGGCGGCAGAAATTCGAAAAATCAAAATTTAAATTTTTGAAATCTGATTGTATTTTTGGATTTGGGAGGTCCATTTGCTCCCTATAGAAGCTAATATTGCTGCATATTCCCATTGAGGTGACAAGAATTAGCAAAATAGTGGTTCGGGCGCTTTTCAAAAATAGTACCGGACGCTGTTCCTCTTGTGACGTCATAGCTCCGTGACCTGACCTGACCCGGTCAAATTTCTTATACCATATGATAGCCAATACTTGCCCCAACATGCATGGGAAGTTTCATCACGATCCATCAACCGATGTCCGTACCACCGGCAGGAAACCTCGGGCGTTGGCACTCTGTTTGTGAAAATCCGGCCGGAGGCTGTACCTCTTATGACGTCATAACTCCGTGACCTGACATGACCCGATCAATTTTTTTTCGGCAAAAGATGCGCAAAGGTTGCCCCAGAGGGTATTGAAAATTTCAGCCCGCTACGACAAGCCGTTTAGCGTGCACTTCGAAAAAACCTCAGCGGGGGGTTGATACAACCCCCCCCCCCCCTAGGCGTTCTAGGGTTAATGTTGTTTTTATTGCCAAGTTAACATGATACCTAATTATTATTTAGATTTTAGGGTAAACTTACGAGAGCGCCTACGAGAACTGAAGCTGCCTTCGCTGTTCTATCGGCGGTGGCAAGGCGATATGATTCAAATGTACCAACTGATGCATGGAGGTGTTGACCTGGCTCCGGAAGAGTTCTTTACTGCTTCCACCGACGGTCGTACTCGAGGCCACTCGCAGAAGGTCCAGAAGCCCAGAGCCACCACCAGACCAAGGAGGAAATCGTTCAGTGTGAGGGCAGTCAATGACTGGAATGGCTTGCCGCAGACGGTAGTTGACGCTGCCAACATCGAGCAGTTCAAATCCAGATTGGATGCCCACTGGGCAAATATCAGGTACATTGTACCTGATAGGAGCTAGAAAAGTCCAAAAGGTCACGAGCTCGATGAGAACGGTTCCTTACAGGCCAAGTTCCGATCAAATTAAGGTAAGGTAAGGTAATGTAAACAAAGATGTGTATTGTGTAGATCCAAAATTGCGTTTTCAGTTTTGTAGAGGTGTAAATTCATGATGAACAAAGTAAGGCAAGGCAAAATGTTTCAGAGACAATGCAGATACAAATAAATTCAGGGACGAATATTTGAGGACAATTTGCGAGACAATAACATAGCATGGGATCGTCCATTCGTCATTTTTAGCTGGTCACATTGCAAGGAATCTTGTCATGATTTGATTGCCCTTCCCTGCTACTGTGTCCAGTCTTGTTTCACCCCACGGTAACCACATTGCCTACCCCACTGAATTTCCCATGCATCCGCCTCGAGCCCACTACGTTCTAACCGTCCGCCGCCACCGTCACTGAGTTCCGCTTCATTTACTCCTCCGTGACACTATTATACACGTCCGTCCCCGAATCCCACCCCGTTGTACCCGTCCGTCCCCGAGTCCCGCTCCACTGTATCCATCTGTCGACCCCGAGTCTCGCCTCATTGTATCCATCTGTCCCCTAGTCCTGTCATCGAGTTCTGCTCCACTATAGGTACCTGCCCTCCCGGACCGTTCTGTTGTACATACTCACTGCATCCTGACCGTTCGGCTGCCGACAGCACCTGCCGGCCGGGCGGCTGCAGTCGGCCGTGGCGCGGGCGGCTGCCGACCTGCAGCTGGAGCAGACCACCCGCTCGCTGCTGCAGGCACTCAACCTCCAGCAGACGCAGCCGACGAGCGGCAGCGCTGAGCGGCGGCAGCGGCGGCCCGGCCCCAGCCGTGCCGAGCTCGGTCAGTGGCACTGGCCGGCTACAATTGACATGGGCATAGATATTCATTAAGCGATCCACAATGCTTGTGGCTATTACCTACCACCTCTTGTCAAAAATATGTTTACCACCTATCATCATTAAATCATGGATGAAAGTTGGGCCTATCCATCCATTTGCGCCAGGCCTATCCATTTTTGACGTCTGCCTTGGATAGAGTGGAGTGTATGAACGCCGTTTGACTCGTCCTAAGTGAGCCATAATTGGGGCGCAAAAAGGGGCGTGCTGGTCGCCACAAGACGCAACAAATGGTAATAGTTTTAAGACCGCTGCTGACTTGTAGGAAAAATCCTGGTTTCGCAAGTTGCAAGGCCTAGAGCTGCAAGTTTGAGGGCTTACAAGCTGCATGAAGTCTAAGTTTATAAGCTTTCTCGAAATCCCAGGCAATGAGAGTGCACCGAAATGGCGACAGTTATGTATGACCGAACAAAGGCTTGCGTGTGACGTCCGGTCAGTGACCTGACCTGAAAAGAAAATGATACTCGCTTTCTGGCGGCTTGAGTGGAAAGTAAGGTGCGCCAATTTGAACTATCTTTGCTATGTTTCGGGCAGTTGAGAACAGGCTCGGGGACGATTGGAACTCGAACTTTTCTCAGCTAAGGAGGTTTAACATGATAGCGCGGGCTATGCTGAACTCAGCTCGCCAGCCCCAGCTGCCTGTAGTTCAGAGACGGGCGTCCTTTCTAATACTAGACATATCAAGGGTCGAATGCTTTGTTTGAATAACACAAAAAATGGGTGATGGTTGCCATTATGCCAGCTTCATCTTTGCTCGTGGGATTCGGATAGTCTTCTTAATCTTTCGTTTGAAGTATTACAATGTTTCTTTCCCGAAGTATAGCATAATTTTCTTTTTCAGATCAAACAGCGCACAGCGACTCAGAAGTGTCGAGCATTTCGCACAGACGCGACAATGAAGCCTGCGACTCGGTCCAGCACATCCCCACGGCTACAACGCTGCTTAGCGAACAAGGTATCGGACGGGCCGGCACTGGAGTCGCTGGAGCGCCACTGGCATACCGCCAATTTCAACCCATGTCCTCATCACACATCAGTTTGTCGGTAACGTTCATCTGACCTCACGATCGCCATTTACCGTGGCCCCGCTGACGTTTTGTTCACCCGCCGGTGTTTGGTGCACCCCGCTGACGGTTGGTCGCCCTGCTGACGTGTGATTCTCCCGCTGACAGTCGGTTCATCCCGCTGATGTGTGGCTAGCCCGGCTGGCATTTGTCTTGCCCCGTTGACGTATGGTTCTCCCTGCTGACGTCTGGTTTACCCCGCTGACGTTTTGTTCGCCCCGATGACAGTCGGGTCATCCCGCTGATATTTGGTTCGTCCCGCTGATGTGTGGTTAGCCCCGCTGACGTTTTGTTCGCCCAGCTGACGAGTTAGTTCATCCCGCTGGTGTTTGGTTCTCCCGCTGGTGTGTGGTACGCCCCGCTGACGTCTGGTTCGCCCGCTGACGGGGTCAGTTTACCCCGCTGACGGTCGGTTTGCCCCGCTCGCGCTGTTCGGTTCGCTCCGCTGACGTTTGGTCCGCCCCGCTGACGTCTGACTCACTGCTGACGTCTGGTTTACCCCGCTGACGGTCTGTTCGCCCCGCTGACGTCTGACTCACCGGTGACGTCTGGTTCGCCGCGGTTTCAGCCACCCAGACGCAGTGCTCGGCAGAGGCCGGCCGGCCGGGCGGCGGCCAGCTGCCGTCGCTGCACCTGCTGCGCACACTGCGCGGCCGACTGGTCAGCGCCCTCCAGCAGGTGGGCCAGCTGCGCGCGCAGGCGCCCTGGCAGAGTCGCGTGCTCGACCAGCTCGACTGGGACCGCAAGGTGGCCAGAATGGACGAGTTCCACGCCAAAATCACCCGAGAGATGTACATCCTGACGAGACAGGTCAGTAAGAGGTGTCTGTCCGGACAGGTCAGGTCAGTCGCTTTGTCTCTCCCGCCGCGACAGGTCAGTCGAGAATCGTCACGAGTCAGGTCAGTCGAGATGTTGCGCTCATAGGACGGGCCAGTCGATAGGTTCGTCCTGACAGGTCGGGTCGGTCGATGGGTCCGCCCTGATACGTTAGATCAATCGGAAACGTTCTGGAGACAGCGTATGCGCGTCAAGCTAGCACTGATTCAACTGTTGAGGGACCAGCTTCTGGATGGAAATTGGCTTCAGATTCTTGGATCAGTCATCTTCTGTTGTTATTGTTGGGAAGAGGGGTGCCATTTTGTTTCATCCTAAAACAAAACATTGGACTATCATAATAAGGTTAGGAGTGGACCATTAAACCACAGCTCTTTTGTCTGAAATGCGCACCGAAACTGGTCCCTGCGGCCTTTGCCTTACATCGGTACTGTTATCACCTCTCAGTTCTTGATCGGGAAAATTGTTTGCAGTTTCCTCGACTGCGCTAGAACGTCGAAATTGTCGACGTTGCTGACGATTGATGATTGTTGACTGTTGACGTTTCAGGTGGACCTGATCATGGATAATGTCTGCAGCATCCCGCGCACACGGGTGACGTCATCACTAAAGGGTGACGTCATCAGGAAGCTGGTGCGCGCGCACCGATCCGCCCTACGAGTGACGCAGGTGCGAACCGCCGCCAGATGAACGTTACAGACGTTATCGTGGTAGAGCTAAAGTGTACCTGTTGTCAGCTCATGTGAAACAAAAGCAAAAAAAAACTCATATGCTTATATGGTGCCGACCGCGCCTGATTCGTCTTTCTTTCAGTTCAACAATATTTAGCTAACGAACGAACTTTAAGGCTTAAAAGCTGTTGCAAGGCTCTTCATTCGTTGAGTCATTTTGCCAAGTCGCCTTGGCCGTCACCGTAGCTGGTACGACTGCGTGCGTCTGTACGGCCCGCTCCGGCCGCAGAACTACATGTGGAGTTATGATGGAGAGCCGTACTGAACTATTGGTCTCGGCTGTCGGCAGGCGTTCGCGCAGAACTACTGGGACGGCTCTCTGGACGGCCGTCAGGCGGGCCGGTTTCTGCAGCTGCTCTCTGTGTGTCGCAGTCTGACCGACGTCTGCCAGCACCTGGACCTCGAGTCGGCAGAGATCGCCGACCTGCCAGAGGTTGGTGACAGGGACGGGGGCAGATATCTGTCAGACTGACCCTGTCCCTATCAGCCGCCTCGAGCACATATCTGTCAATGCTGTCAGAGGTGGGTGTCACTCTGACAGATATGTGTCAGAGGTGGTTGACAGGGACGGGGTCAGTCTGACAGATATGTGCCCGAGGTGACTGACAGGGACTGGGCAGTCTGACAGATACCTGTCAGAGTGGGTGACAGCCGACAGGGATGGGGTCAATCTGACATATTTGGGGATAGGTGTCGGGGACGGGGAGGTGGGTGTCGAGGACTTCAGAGGTCGCTGTCGGTGACGAAGACCAGCATTGCTGGCTGAGGCTGGGAAAACCCTGTGAAATGTGGGTAGATTAAGAAGACGGTGGATGAAACAGCAACGCTATTCCGGGCTTTCGACAGTTACTCTGTGTGATGCTCCCACTGGATCATATTAATTCACCGACCACCGCGCTAGGATGGAGACGTCTGTCCGCAGCCCTAATCTCACCCGGTCGGCTCACGTCACCGGCTCTCGATGTTCCTCTGTGTCTGCTGCCTCTGACCTGATGTCCCTGTCAGCGGCTGGCGGCCATGGTTCGTCAGCACGTCACCACGGCCGGGGACGTGGGCTCGCTGATCCGGGAGATGGCGCTGGGCCGGTTTGGCCCGGCGGCGGCCGAGGCAGCGGCCACGGTCAGCGCGCGGAGCGGCGGGCGGGCCCGGCCGACGGGGACGGCGCGGAGCCGCGGCCACCCGGCCGGACGACAGCCGCCGCACAGGGTCAAGGTCAGTGACCGCCGCTCAGCGCACAGGGTCAAGGTCATTGTGACCTCCGATCAGCTTCAGAGGTGACGAATGTGGTTGTAGAGTAGACCGTCGAGTGTAGTAATGCTATTCTACTCATTTTTTAGTTTAGTCATCGACTGTTATTTGCACGTCACAGATTCGCATATTGACTTTCCTTTTTTGCGTTTCGATGAGCATCAATCTGGAAATGGTTGACCTTAGCGCGACCCTCTCTACCGTTCCTGTCGACGGTAGACGCCGATCACCTGCCTTCCCCACGTTCGACGGTAGACCCTGACCACCACCCCGCTGTCCCCCCAGTCGACCATTGACCGGCTGCGCTCGGGTCGGCCCGGTGAGAAGCTATCGGTGCGCAGCGCACCCACTGTCCGTCGGCCGGCCGGCCGACCTAGAGCCGCCCGGCCCGGCTCGGCCCCGCACGCCGTGAACAAGGTGATTAGGGAGGCACACCAACCAGCTGGTAGCTACGTCTAAAGCAGATTTTAATTTCCGTGCTAGTTGCTTCACCTCGCGTGTCCATGTTTCGCCTTGTATTATTATTCACCGGTCGACTCTAGTGTATCGGTTGGCTGGGCCACCATCAGTACCTTCCAGTCAGCCGTCACATGTTGCCACAATGTGTCTCTGCTAGTATAAATGCCACCTACCTCACCGCGTGCCTGGTTTTCTCGGCAGGCCCGGGCGGGCGGTGAGCGTGCTCCGCTGCCGCCGCTGCCGGAGGAGGGTGACGCCTCCAGCTCTGACGAGGACCCGTGGAGCCGCGCCGGTCCCGGACCGGCCGACTGGTCGGCGCCTGATCGGCCGCCGGACGTGCTGACGGCCACTGTAGAACAGGCCGTGCGCCGGGCTCTCTCCGAGGTCGCCGCCGCTCCGGGGCTGCCGGGGGAGACGGCCGCGCAGCTCCACAGACGGGGGGACAGGGGAGGCACCGAGAGCGGGACCGAACGCCTGACGGACCGGAGAGACGCGGGGGATAGAGAGCAGGGTGCCGGGGAGGCCGGCGGGCGGGTCGGGCCGGTCGCTGGCGGCGGGGACAGCCCGGACGGACCGCCGGACTCTCAGCAGCAGGCCGCGGAGGGCCGCGGCCCGGCCGGTAACAGTACCAGCGGGGACCGGCCGGCGCGACGGCGGAGCAGCGTCAAACAGCAGACAAAGGTGAGCTCCCGGCAGGGAACCAGTGCTCTTACGGGGGCCTTGTTTCATAGATAGTTTTGCCATATCTTTCGTCTTCCTTTTCCTCTTAAGAGAAACATAAAATACACGAGAGTGCTAGCAGCCTGCACAAGCGACAAGCGTCCACCTGTCGTTTTACGCGCTGTGACAGAGTGCTCGCCGGCAGCGTGAGGCGGAGAGGTCTCGGCGCCAACTGCGTCACGTGCTGGCCCGGCTGGAGGAGCTACAGCGACAGAGAGCCGTCATCCGCCGGCGCTGGGCGCCGCTGCTGCTGGCCAGGTGAGTCCGGTAGACGCTCCTGCTGGCCAGGTGAGTCTGGCAGCCGCTCCTGCTGGCCAGGTGAGTCCAGCAGCCGCTCCTGCTGGCCAGGTGAGTCCAGCAGCCGCTCCTGCTGGCCAGGTGAGTCCGGTAGACGCTGCTGCTGGCCAGGTGAGTCTGGCAGCCGAGTCCGCCCTAAAGTCAGTCGCATTCTGACTTCCGTTCTTGATATTCGACTTCCGTTCTTGATATTAACTTGATATTCGACGCATACTGACTTCCGTTGCAGTGCAGAGAAAGGCACTTGCACATATTTTCCTAAAACCCCGCGGCTGCTCGCAGGTCACGCAGTGAGGAGGACGCTATTTATCTGGATATGGACCCGGACCTGGACTCGGCTGAACTCGACCTGACCGCCGCACAGGTCACTGGCGGTGGCACCGGCCGACAGGGGACGCATCCCGGGGTCGAGCTGACAGCCGCGCAGGACACCGGCCGGCAGGGGACGCGGGCCGACGCCGCCACATCCACCTCGACCCTGGCCGTGCCGCCGGAGCCGGGGCCGGGTGCGGGGCTGGGCGCCGACCAGCGCCGCTGCGTCCGGGACGTGTTCGCGGCGGAGGCTCTGGACCCGCGGCTGCGCACCGACCTGACCGAGCAGCTCCGTGGGCTGCTGGGCAGCTGCGACGACAGCGCCGTCAGCAGGTCAGTGTCGGACCCCAGGGTCAGGGCGGAGGGGGGTGCTGCTACTGTGGCCGGTACGGGGCCTAGGAGCGGCATGGTAATCGACGCTGGGGGTTTTCTAGGCTCCGAGGAGCCCGGCATTCGTTATCACGTTATTTTGCTAATTTGGCGGGATTACGTGGTATCAGACTATGTCGATAAACATAAAGTAACTGAACTGAACCATGTAAATTTTACGTCCCTTTTTTCGGTATTATGTTTAGCAGGCTTACTAATATTTTTTATTGGGAGCACTGTCGGAATGCTCGCTATAACTGAAAAATGTACTAAAACACAAACATACTCGCACTTGGTGTAAGTTGGATCTCATTCAATCTAGTGAGATGTCACCTTCTATGCGCACATAAACATTCTTAGACGCCTGATGCTACTCACGGAGGAAATCAAGTCATAGTATACGGGCTGTACAAGAGAATCATCGGGATCTCCTGAGCTGGGAAATTTCGCTTCTTTCGTGTACCTTGATTCTAAGCTTTCAATACTCGTTGCAGTAGCTCTCTCAGTCGTATTGTAGCAGATTCCTCACTTTCAGTGGGTTGACAACACCTAACACCAGAGGGTCGATGCTGACAGGCCGCGTCGCCCGCGTTCCGTTCCAGCCTGCCCCAGGAGCTGGTGAACCAGTTGGTGGACGAGTTCATCTCGGAGGCCGGCGTGGACATCTTCCTCCAGCAGCTCTTCAACCAGGAGTTTGAGCTGCGCTAGCGCCACTCGGGGAACCCGGTGATAGTGTGTAGTTGTACGAATCGCGACCTCTCATCGAACGAACACTGCCAGCTTCATACCTCAACCGTTATAATATATTGTGAGCGTTCATCACTTTTTGCGCACATTCGCTGAGACATACGTCTCAGTATGTGGATAACATACACAGCCATTCATTCCGTCTGGTCAGTCACCATCAGGCTACTCTAGTTAACACAGTTGGAGCGAATACAAGGGTGGTGTTTCACCGGTGATAGCAGCACGCTGCTATTATGCTGACGTCACACTTGTGGTAGTGTTGGAGCAATGGGCTTGTTGACGTCTCCATGGAAACCCAATGTGACACGTGTGATAGCAGCGTGCTGCTATCACCGGTGAAACACCACCAAGGCTCCACGATGACGGACCATTTAACATCAACAATATCCATCATAAAACAGTATTCGAGCGCCCAGAACTTCGAGGCATTATCCCCCGGCAGCAGCCTGGCGAGCTGGTGGCGCTTCATCAGGAATTCAAGCAGCGCTTACAAATAGCACCCATTCTGCTAAACTAAAAAACGCCAGCGTTCACTGCCGCAGAGCACACTAAAGCAGCACGCCTCTTACCTGAGTCCCGTTACCAGCGGGCTGAGGCGGTGTAACGTTACCTACGCGACACAGGTCCTCACGGGGAGCCGCCCCGGGTCAGCCGTGGCGTCCTGAAGCCGCCTTCGGCGTCGCGCTCTCAGCTCGAGTAGCTGACCAGGAGGCGGGCGGTTCGAGCAGCTGACGAGAAGGCGGGCGCTCTCAGCTGGAGCAGCTGACCATGAGGCGCGCAGCCCAGTCGGGCGGCCGGCCGGCGAAGCCGCGCTCCTCGGCGTCGGGCTGCTCGTCGAACGGCCGCTCCAGCACTGCCAGCAGCGTCTGCAGCTCGGCGAACTCGCCCTTCTCGGCGTCAGCGATGGCCCGCTGCGCCATCCAGTTGCGCAGCACGTAGCGCGGGTTGGCGGCGCGCTGCTGCTGCCGGCGCTGCTCCTCGCCGACGCCGTCCGCGTGCAGCTGCGCCGCGTACTCGGCGGCCCACTCCTTCCAGCCGGGCGTTTCCGCCGCCGTCCGGAGCGCCCACATGTCGTCCGGCAGCTGGCCGTCCTTGAGCTGCTCCTGCGTCACGTCGCCCAGCTGGCGGAACGTCATGGTGAAGTCGGCGCCGGTACGCTCCATCAGCGTCAGCAGCCGGCGCGCCAGCTGCTCAGCCTCGGCGCTGGCCGGCAGCCCGAGGCGCGCGCTGAACTTGGCGCGCCACTCGGCCGCGAACGCCTCCGTGTAGGCGTCCAGCGCGGTGCCTAGCTGGCCGGCCTGCTCGGCGGGCAGCAGCGGCCGCAGAGCCGCGCCCAGCTTCTCGATGTTCCAGCGGCCGACGCGCTCCTGGTTGCCGTACGAGTAGCGGCCCATGTCGTCCGAGTGGTTGGGCACAAAGTCGGGCTCGTACGCGTCCAGGAAGCCGAACGGCCCGTAGTCGATGGTGATTGACAGGATGCTCATGTTGTCCGTGTTCATGACGCCGTGCGCGAAGCCGCACCACTGCCAGCGGGCGATTAGACGTCCGGTATCGGCGGCCACGCGGCGCAGCAGCTGTAGGTAGCAGTCGGGCGCCGACAGGTCGATGTCGCCAAAGTGCCGCTGGATCACGTAGTCGGCCAGCAGGCGCAGATTCTCCGTGTCACCGTCCGTGGCCAGCATCTCGAACGAGCCGAAGCGGAACCAGCAGGGCGCCAGGCGCAGCACGACGGCGGCCCGCTCGGCCACCGGCCGGCCGTCGTAGAAGGCGTCGCGCACCACGCGGTCGTCGCTGATAACCAGCGTGGCGGCGCGCGAGGTGGGCACCCCTGGCGGACCGGGCACGGCACGGGGACGGTCAGCAGCGCCCGCAGAGCGCGCCCGGTGGCAGGGACGGGAGTCGCTCAAACACAGCGCGCCTACGTTTTCGGTGAACAAGTGTTAGAGATAAAATCGCAATGCAAAAATGCAGATATTGTTCAGCGACTAGAAATGGAAATAGATATAAGGACATAATTTAACGGGAGGCCGGAGGTGAGAACGATCAAACATATAACTGGCGTAATACAAGACAAGTGCGTGACTGTAACGTAAAAATATGTGATAAGTGAGTAATCGGCAACTGACCGCAGTAGAAGACTGCGCGGCCATTCACCAGCCGCAGTTTCCTCAGGCAATACCGGGCGCTCCGATAGCGCTGCGTCTCCGTGACTTGGCAGTTTTGCGCGCCGGTCCCCGGTCTGCGGTACCTCTGACAACTCACCGAGGTAGTGCATGGCCTCTGAGCAGAGGAACTCGCGCACCGAGGAGCGCACCACGGCCCGGCCGTCGCCGTAGCGCGAGTAGGGCGTGCGGCCGGAGCCCTTCAGCTGCAGCTCCCACCGCTCGCCGCCGCTGCAGAACAGACGTGGCACACGTCAGCCCGGCGCGCCGCCGCTGACGAACAGTGGCTCCCTTCTGGGACTGTCACACAACACGGCCCGCAGGAACACAAATAAGGACTTATTATTTACTACCACTGAAACGGCAGTGATGGGAGACAACCTTAGAATGACCTTCTCTAAAATCAAATTGAGTTAACTGCACCTGTATAAATTTCCCACATATTCCGTGGTTCATTCTTCACATCTTATCACAGGACGGGAAAGGGAATTTCTATTCTGATGCTGAGCGTACCGTTCATAGCGATAGATGGCCGTTCACCTGTTTGTTTCCTCTAGGAATGGACGTTTCTCTGTTTGCATGCCCTCCAATGGTCGCTCACCTGGTTGTGTATTCCCCGATAAGCGCTCACCTGGTTGTGTATTCCCCGATGAGCGCGCAACTGTTTGTGTCTCCGCTCACTGTGTGTAGAGTGCACCTTGGCCTCGCTGTTGGACGCTCACCTGTTTATGACCCCTCCACCTGCGTGTGTCCCCGCCCACCTGTTTGTGTCCATGCTCACCTGTTTGTATCTCGCTCACCTGTTTGTATCCCGCTTATCTGTTTGTGTACTTCCCGATGAGGTGGGCGCGCGCGCCCAACTGTTTGTGTCCCGCTCACCTGTTTGTTTACTCCCCGATGAGGTGGGCTCGCCCAACTGTTTGTGTCCCCGCCACCTGTTGTGTCCTGCTCACCTGTTTGTGTACTCTCCGATGAGGTGGGCACGCCCACCTGTTTGTGTCCACTGTCCCCGCCATCTGTTTGTGTCCCGCTCACCTGTTTGTGTCCCGCTCACCTGTTTGTGTACTCTCCGATGAGGTGGGCGCGCCCGTCGCCCAGCTGCTCGGCCCAGAAGCCGAACTGGTGGCCGCCGTAGCGGTGCGCCAGTGACGGCACCCCGGGCACGGCGTCGTTACCGGCCACGATGTCCACAAAGTGGCTGTTGGCGCCGATCTCGGGTCCCAGGTCGAGCAGGCGCAGCGCGGCCGGCGAGGCGGCCGCCAGCCGCACGGCCGACCGGAACGGCGTGGGCCGCACGCGTGAGAACAGCGCGCCGCGCACCATGAAGCGGACAGAGTTCTCCCGGCTGGGGTCCAGCGGGAAGTGCCGGTACGTGTCCTGGTGCCAGCGCAGCGTGTCGCGTACCAGCGACTCGAACTCGTCACACATGGCCGCCGCCAGACGCCGCCGCGGCTCGCACACAAACGCAGTCAGGTTAGCGCCGAAATTGTAGCAGCCAGCCGCTGACCCGTGTTTTCCGCGGTCGCGTCTGGGGCTGGGAGACTTATCCTCTGGCGGTGGTTGGCTCTGTCTCCAGTGTTTCAAGTGCTGCAAAACATCACTATGTGCAATGGCTGAAATGCTACACAGCAGAACACCAAGATTAAAAGAACAGCTATTCCGTAAGGTCCTCATGAAGTTCTGGTGCAAAAATGAAGATTTTTTTTAACCTGTAAACTGTTTACCTCCACAACTCCCTTTTATTTTTCTGAAAAGTAAATATATGACATTTATGTAAGGTGCCGCAAAATGCTAATAGTTGTTGCAAACACTGTTTTGCTAAGTGGGAGAGAAAATGAGTGTCATCTAGAGTGAGTCAAGATGATATTTGCTACTATCCATATTCCATATCCATGCACTATTGTGGTTTTCAAACCAGTGGTACAAAATCTGGTTTGATACTAATCCAAGCTTGGAGTTCAATTCACAATTATCATCAATTTAAGCAACTCTTAAGCATTGTGTTGAAAGCCATGTCCACTGTTCTCAGCCCACAAATACCAATATCCCTGCTTATAAATATATGACCACCAACTTCAACTTTTGCATATAGCATATCAATATATAGCAGCATACAGTCTCAACTCTCAATATACATAGGCAGGGGCGCCGGGCGAGGAAGAAAGTAATGCTTATGGATAAATCCCAGTCCACTCCTGCCTGCTCCCAATAAGTAACCTTTTCCAGGGCCCCATTGCCATAGTATATATTTCTCTGAACTGACAACTGTCCTAAGCGTCCTAAGCAATGCGTCCAAAGAGGTCAAGGCCGTATAAGTTAGGTAAGATCGTCCGGGCTCGCTAATGTTACAAATCTGCAACACTACGGTGACGTCACCGGTGCATATGCTCCCTGGCTCCATCTGGACCCTGATGCGGCGGCTGGAATTACTGCTAGTATAAAAATTACTGGTGCAATAGCGCTTTTAAATGATTTTAAAGGGGGGAAAATATGATAGCAAAATAATTATGAGAATCCCTTGTCCTGACTGGGATTGTATGGCCCCGCCACCTAGCGGACAACTTCGTAATTAGGGTTGAGTTGGCGATCGCCAGGTGGCTTGTCAGTAAGCTGTCAGCCGCAGACTGGAGAGGGGCCGTCAGTCGCCGCCAGATCATGCTCAGGAAAATGCGACACGCTTCAGAACGGTCATTTATCTCGAAAAAGATACGGTGCCCTGTGGTGATATGGCCCACATGACTCGGGACCCGTAGGCCGTATACGGCCTACGAGTCCCGAGTCATCAGGGGCCTTATAAGGCCCCTGTGGTCACCGGCAGCTCCCAAGGCCCATACGGTCGCGATACATAGGTACTTCGAAAATCGCTAGACAAAGGACTCAGGGGCGCAGCCAAGGGGGGGGGGGCACACTGTGCTTTAGCCCCTCCCAATCTAGCAGGCGCCCTCTGGAAAGACGCCATCCAGACGCCTTCCACGATCATTCTGTGCGCCGATGGCGCCTTTTCAGTGTCCAGCACTCTAGTCGCCCTCGACGGTAAGCCATTGCGACGTCATCATGCGGTGCTGGCGCCCATATTTACAATTTTATATCTCTTTGTGGGTGAAGATGCACCCACAATCCTGAAATGACGGGTATCCACTCCCAATCTCCTGACCATCTAGCGCCCTCGGCTCACCTTCAGCGCCCTTCTGTCTGCGACTCTGCTCGGCGCCCTTCTGATCTGTCGGCGCCCTTCTCGCCCTTCAGCGCTCTCCTGGCCTGTCGGCATCCTCTTCACATTCGGCGCCCTCCAGGCAGACCTGTCAGCGCCCTCCTGACCTGGCAGCGCCTATCGTATTATAGCACCCTCCTCACCGTACAGTGCCCTCCTGACCTGTCGCCATCCTCCTCACTGTATAGCGGCCTCCTAACCATACAAAGCCCTCCAGACCGGCGCCCTCTACGTTCAGCGCCCTCCTGACAAGTCGGTGCCCTTTTCACCGTAGACGGCCCTCCTGATCTGTCGGCACCCTCCTGACCGTACATCGCCTTCCTCACCTTGTCCGCACCCTTCTTTTCATACATTGTCTTCCTGACCTGTCAGCGCCCTCTTCACTCGTATAGTGCCCTTCTCATCGTACAGCATCCTCCTCACCATGGGCGCCCTCCTGATCTGTCGGCGCTCTCCCCACCATACAGCGCCCTGCTGCCTTGTCGGTGCCCTCTTCACGGACAGCGTTCTCCAAATCTGTCGCAGCCCTTATCGCCGTGCAGTGCCCTCCTGACCTGTCAGCACCCTCCTCGCCTGTCGGCGACATCTTCGCGTTCAGCGCCGTCCTGACCAGCCCGCGCCTTTTGCAACGCATAGCGCCCTCATCACCATGCATCGCCCTCCCGACCAGTCAGCGTCGCCGTTCATCGTACAGCGCCCTCCTGACCTGTCGGCGCCCTCCTCACAACACATCGCCCTTCTGACCGGTTAGCGTTCTCCTCACCATGCAGACAATGCAACACTTTACAATTAGGAAAGCGTTAAGTAGCCGTTGCTTAACCCTCGCCGGCACAGGCCATTTTGCGTCATTCGACGACACAAGAGGTTGGTACGACCACTCCCCCCCCCCTCGTGTTTGGCCCCTGATTGAGCTAGAGCTTCGCGGAAAAACGAGCGTGTTGCCCGTCACGAGAGGAAGCCGATGATATCCAATTTTAAGATCCTAGGTCATCGGGTGACCTTCCAGGTCAGGTCAATGACCCGAAAATCGGGAAAATCGGGGCCCTAGAAAGTCGTAAAGTGTGGCTGCTATGGAGTTCTCCGGGGTGCTGATCACGAATATCGTGTTAGTTTTGATCAGAGATGATGTCTTTAAGCATTTAGACCAGATCGGGTCAGGTCAGGTCAGGTCAACCGGTAGGGGTCGTGACGGGTATTCGTAATACGTGCCAACCGACTCTGACAGCTTCGTAACATGTCACGAAGGCACCAAAACTACTTCGTAAATGTTCAAATGGCTGTTAAATTCGAAATCAGCTCCAAAAACTAGCCTAGAAACATGTAAAACTCGAAAAAGTGAACCGAAGTCACCAAAGGTCAATGACCTGACCTGACCTTCAGGTGACCTTTTGACATCCACCCTAATGCATAGGAGCAACATCAAATCACATGTTTGAACGTTTGAAACCACGAAAAGCTTGCAAACGCGCGGCTAATGCGAGCCGACATACGCCGAATCGCTATTCCGGCCAAACATGGTCTCGGAAAGTAGGTCACAGGTCAAAGGTCATTTGGGTCAGGGTCATGAAATTTTCAGGTTAGGTGTACAATTGATCAATGCGAGGGTACTGAAAGTTTCGTCGCGATCGGCCGCTTTTTACGCGAGTTATTCGCGAAAAACCTTAGGGGGAAGGCCAGCTGACAAGTGTACGCTCCCGTGACGTCACGGGTAATGTTAAACAGTCGGGCGCCCGGCACATAGGAAAGCTCGGGATGACAGCCCCCTGAAAGAGGTCCCAAACGAGTTGCAGTGCGCATATTTTCAACTCACTGCGCCATGTATGGATTAATAATTTGCTACCAAATCATAGATACCAAATCCTTGTATGGAGGAAAGGAAAGGAACATAGAGCGTGCGTACCCACCGTAGTATTTTTATACCCATAACATATAAAAAATATAAGTGAAAAAAGCAGTTATCTCATAAGCCATCACTGAAACAATTAGATCAAAGCGATGGAATATTATTGGTTTGACCTTGAATCGTTAGAGGTCAAACAAGTTCGAGCATCTTTTGTATAGCTTGCGTCATTTTTAGGGGTGGATGGAGAGCTTCGTCCTACACTTTCGTGGGATAAATTATTCCGTAGTATGAAAATATATGAAAATAAAACTGGTTTATTTTAGCTGACTTAAATTCTTTTAGCATATTTCTGCTAAATTCTTACTAAAATAATTATAAGAAGAAGAGCAATGGTAAGCAAAGCATCGACTAAGTTCATGGCACTTATATATGCGTCATCAAATGACAAAACTCGAGCCGAACAGTTTCGATAAGACAGCAGAGTTTGGCCATCGTCGGTAATCCCGGAGCTCGAGCGGAAGCTGTCTGTTTTTCCTGTTATTTTTCGGCCGCTGGCGTCTGACTTTGGTGGCGACCGCAGTGCAAATTTTCAGTTTTTGATATTCAATTCAGCGTGGTTCATATATACAACGGCCACAATGCCTCGCAAGTTTTTCGTGGGTGGAAACTGGAAGATGAATGGGGACAAGAAAAGCATTGACGGAATCTGCGACTTTTTGAAGAAGGGTCCTCTCGACAAGAATGTGGAGATCGTCGTTGGAGTTCCATCAGTTTACCTGGAGTATGCTAAATCCAAGGTTCCTGCTGGTGTTTTGTGTGCTGCCCAAAACTGTTACAAGGAGCCAAAGGGTGCATTCACTGGTGAGATCAGCCCAGAGATGCTCAAGGATATCGGCATTGAGTGGGTAATCCTTGGACATTCTGAACGCAGAAATGTGTTTGGTGAGACAGATGAACTGATTGCTGAAAAGTGCAAGCATGCTCTTGACACTGGTTTGAAGGTCATCCTGTGCTGTGGAGAAAAGCTGGAAGAGAGGGAAGCTGGTAAAACAGAGGAAGTGGTGGTCCGTCAACTGACTGCCTGTGCAAAGAAGATAAAGGACTGGACTCATGTTGTTGTGGCCTATGAGCCAGTTTGGGCTATTGGCACGGGAAAAACAGCCACCCCTGCTCAGGCCCAGGAAGTCCATGCCCAGATCAGGAACTGGATGAAGGAAAAGATCAACCCTGGTGTTGCTGACAACACAAGAATCCTGTATGGAGGCTCTGTCACAGCTGACAACTGCAGGGACCTGGCCAAGCAGCCAGATGTTGATGGATCTCTGGTTGGAGGAGCTTCCCTGAAGCCTGACTTTGTGAAGATTGTGAATGCTGCAAAGTAGTTTGCTGAGTGGGTTTGCTGAGGCTGCTAAGCAGCAAGTGGGCTGGCTTTGTGGCATGCAGGGCAACAAGATGCAGGAATGGTTAAAAATTCAATGTTTGCTGTATTCATTTTGAGGGATACCTCTAGTCTGTCTCAATAAGAAACACAACTTGTGATATCCTGCCATGCTCTATGAACTACATGTTAGCTATTTGTGGTCAAATATATTGTGGCTCAACAGCTGCATTGGAACATGCATGTTTTGAAGAATGTGTGCTGTGTGTTTCGAACAAAAATAGCTATGATTTGACATAAGTGCTGGTGCAAATCGAAAGGATTGGCAAATGATTATCGAACAGTAACTGGAAATTCGTCAATGTTGGTAGGTGGCGCTGGCATCGAGCTTGGAGTATGCTGCCATCTACTACACGGGCCGATCCCCGGCGACCAAACAGGGTTGGCTCACGTGCCCTGATGGCTGATGGCTGAGGATTTCCGCAAGGGCGCTGCCAAGGGGAGGGCCCGGGTCCGTACCTAGTCCCTCGCTGTTATAGGCAGGTAAGGTGGATCTCAACGGTTTGAAATGGATAATTCGCGTAAAGTGATCCAAAGTTTCAGTATAACCTCGTCCTTACCCTCGCCCGCATTGGCGCTTTCACAGCGGCTAATGTACAGTCTGTCTTAAAAGTACCGCGCAAAGTGACGGTGAATCCATCAAGCCTGACCTGACCGAGGAAGGGCCTGCTATAATTTGAAAGTCACCGAACCAATGGAGCTGGGGAATGGACGAGGATGTCCATTGCTTCGGTGACTCAAATTTGGCAGTCCTTCATCGATCAGGCTTGATGGATCCACCGTCACTTTGCGCGGTACTTTTAAGACAGACTGTACAGGTCAGGTAGGGGGTGAAGGGGCGCGGGTGTCGATTATATACTTCCAGCCATTCGGCCTCTGATGGGAGCTGCTAAAAAGGAGCGCTTTGCCCGTGACGAAAGGAAGCTAATGGAATTGAACTGCATGATCCTAAGGCGATCCAAAGTCATTCGTTGACCTTCCAGGTCTTGTAAATGATCCGATTCTCGTGAAAATCATGACTTCTTGAAACTTCTTGAGAGGTTTTTAAAGATGATTTGGAATCCTGATTTTACGTCAAGCAGTTGTTATTGCGAAAATAAAAGGTAAATTTGTGCATTATAGGGTTGCCCGGGTCAACCAGCAGGCACCCCGCCGTGCTTTTTATTTAGCAGGTGCTAAGGTACCTTCACCGTCATCTCCGCAGGTGTTGACTTTCTTGAGATCCGGGTTAGGTTATAAACCTGACTCGAAAGGTACCGTGATTTGCTACGAAAAGTAAATACTTTCGGCTTTGCCTGGTCACTAGCAACACGCTCGCTTTTTCACGATGCTCTAGCTCTGTGAGGGGCCGAGCGGTTGGGGGAGGAGGGCTAGAATCCCCCCCCCTTCCCCTCCTGTTAGGTACCTATACGTTAGTCACCTGAGAAAACGCCAATACGGGAGAGTCAACGGACCCAAATCAGGGAAGAGCCCGTCCATTTTTGCATCAAACCAATGCAGATAGGTTAAAAGGTGATTTGTTTGTTTAATCCGCTTACAAACTGGTAAAAAAGGTTACCGATTTGATTGCTTCTAAGCTATACGTTTAGAGCGGCGAGGAACGCTCTGAGGCCAGCGCTGGGACCTCACCGGTCAGACTGGACCCTCGTTAGTATGTAGGTATAGGGCCCTTAGAGGTCCGCATAGGGTCCTTGGATGTCCTCAGTAACCGGTCCCAGTAAACATGACGACGTCGGCCCGACGTCGGCCCAACGTCGGTTCAACCTCGGCCCGACATCGGCTGGACATCGGATATGCCCGCATGTTCCGACGTCTAGCCGAAGTCCAGCCGACGTCGGGCCGAGATCGTTTGCCAAGGTTGACGAGACCGTTTTTCGTTGGACCGACGGGGCCGACGTCGGCATGTTTATTGGGACAACGCGCCAAAAACATCAACCGGCGGCGGGATTCGAGCCCCCCAGTCGCCGACGTCGGCATGTTTACTGGGACAACACGCCAAAAGCATCCACCGGCGATGGGATTCGAAACCCATCCCATTCAAACGCGAGGTTAGGGCACTAACCACTACACCACACAACCAGCTAACGAATATGGTTTGTTTTGTTGTGTTATGCCCTTTCGGTCTGACAAGACCATTTCAGAGCCGGAAGGATCATAGGATGGAGACATTGGTCTTCTTGGCGAGCACCCTGGGTCCAGTTCATAGTAGAGTCCCTGGTCCCATTGCTGTTACGTGACACTTATTGGAAAGGGCGACCCCACAATGGATTCATATAGCCACTCTTACACACCTGCACCAACGTTTCCCAAAGTGTCCCTTTGATCTTTGGCAAAGTGACACTTGCCGACTGGCCTTTCTATATGAACTAGGCCCGGCCCTGGTGAGTTGCCGGGGCTGAGCCTGACCAAAGGATAGGCCGAGCAGCCCCCAAGCACTCGAGTGCTTGGGGGGAGCCGGGTGCGGTGATCACCGCACCCGGCTACCGGCGAGCTCGGCTTACGGGCAATCCCAAATGGGATAAAGTTTCCCGTCCAGTCCGGATCAGGGGGTTGCGGCGTGGAGGAAGATTTGAGTTTCCTGAGGATATTTTGAATACAGAGGCTCTTTATAAAACATGAAACATGTATTTTATGTTATTTTAACGGTCAAAACAGCGGCCGATGTCGGTCCGACGTCGTCCCGACGTCGGCCCGACGTCGGCTGGACCTCAGCAATTGATCTCGGTCCGACGTCGGCCCGACGTCGGCTGCACCTCGGCTGGACGTCGGAACATGCGGGCATATCCGACATCCAGCCCACGTCGTGCCGAGGTTGGACCGACGTCGGGCCGACGTCGGCATGCCGGTGCCGAGTTGCCGACGTCACCCCGACGTCGGCCGACGTCGGCATGTTTACTGGGGTGCTGCCCTTTGGGAGGTGCACGGGGCCTGCGTGGCCGGTGGCGCCATCAGACCAAGCATCAGACGCACAGTGGAGTGACCAGCAAGATGTGCCTGCGGGACCCTCCCCCAGAGACCAGTGTAAGGCCCCAGTATAGCCGCCAGCGTTGGTCCTTAGGCGCCTGTGTGGAGAGGTTCACAGAGACCGACGTGACGCTTCAAAGGCCTGCGTGGTTAAGTCTCAGAAGTCTGCCTAGGGAACTCAGAGATCGACACGGGCTGACCTGCGTGAGGCTCTGCCGGCCATGGCCTGGCTGGGCCCTCAGGAGTCAATAAAGCCATCATAGGGTGGCCGACGTGGAGGCTTCACAATCACCCGAGAACATCAGAGACCATCGTAGGGATATAATCCAGGCCCAAAGCCGGGCCCTAAGATACTCATTGGGTCGCAAGAGGCCAGCGTTGGGCACTGGGGGGAGGGAGGGGGGAAGGGGGACTTAATAACGGCAATCGTATGAGGTGGGCTCAGGCATGACCCCCAGGGCTAACTTCCAGATCTAGCATGTGACCTTGACGTGCACTTACTACATCTCTCAATTCCGTTCCATAGCGACCGCCGACCTCAGTCCTCTACTGACACGGACCCTATTAGTCTCTCAGATCTGATATGGGCCCGGCCAGGCTGTCACGGAAGCATTCAGAATTTGCTTGTATGTATGTATTTACGATCATGGGCGATCCATCCATGGCGTGGCGAGACCTAGCATGTACCGGATGCCTCCCGAGAGGCCCACGCCGGTCTCTGAGGACGGCCAGAACGGTCTACTGGGAGCTAACCGGTGACCTATGATGACCCACGTCGGTCCTCGCACATACCTTGGCACATATCTCCTACCCACAACACGACGGTCACTGGGGTTTCACGCGCTGGATTGGTGCCTCGCCAGTGTGAGGGCTTCATGTTTGTCTCAGCCAGGACCCAGCGCCCGCCTCCGGGAGGGACCTTCGTCGTCCCCTGACGCCGCAATGCCGGTCTCCTGAGAGCCCCAGTCGGTCTCTGATCTGCCCACGTCGCGTCATCTGCCGGCTGCCCCGCCTTTGGCTGCCTACTTGTGTAGTAGGTACGTGTAGTGTACATAGTACGTCGTCTGAAAAGGGCATCTGCGTAGTCCCCTAAGGACCCACGCCGGTCACTGAGGGAGGATCCCTAGGTGGCCTCCTAAGGCCAATTATTGCCTCTTTGGCCCCAACTCAGCATCAGAAGGCCCGAAACTGGCTCTTGAGTGCCGAAGCCACATGGGGAGCTCTTGATAGGCCCACTTTAGCTTGAGGTCCCGCAGTGGTTTCAGACTCCCGAAGGCTTCATATGCCGGTCTAAAAGGGCTCCAAGCCGGCCACCGAGGGTTCCACACTAGCTTCCCTGGAACATAATTGGTCTCTGAAGATGGCTGCTGAATCTTAGGGCCCATATTGGCATTCGTAGTCCCAACGCTGACCTCAAACAGCCGGTGTCAGTCTCGGGTGATTAGCAATCGTGGAGACTTACAAATTACACAGCTACCAAGGGTTCCACTCCACATTGGCCTCTGAGAGTCCCGCATCGGTCTCTGAAGGACCCGCGCTGGCTCGTGATGGCGCCACGAGGGGCCTCACGCCAATTTTTACGGTCCTTGTCGCTTTGAGAGTCCCACGCTGGCACACGAGGACCCATGCTGCTGCTCCAGGCTGCAGCCCCTCTGAGGGTCCCAAACAGGGCAACTGGGGGTCAGAGGGCCCACACTGACTTTTGAGCGCCCTGCAGACTTGAGATCAGTTTCCAGGGGCCCAGACTGGCAACTGAGGGCCCCACCCCGGGTCTCGAGTCGCACCCTGGCTTCTGATGGTCGGTCCATGTCAGCTCATGAGTCCCATCATTATAGAGTTCAGTTCAGTTCAGTGGTACCCATGCACCAGTGCTGAGAGAACAGGCTGACTTCTGAGGCAAGGCCATCTATTTCTGAGGGTTCCAACCCAGTAGTTTTGTTATGGATCTGTATAGATATATGAATAATGCTTTCCGAAGGGGTAGGGTAGAATCATGCAGGGTTGCTTATTGGCTGCAATTTGCAAATGGTGCAGGCACCAGCATCTGAACGCATCCAGCAAATTTTAGTATACAACTAACAAAATGTTAGAAACGGCCGCTACAAAAACAATCCAAATCCACACGTGCGCCGCCCCCCGCCCCCTCTCAAACCACGATCTGCCACGATCTACATTTGTCGAGATTCCGTGCGACCGTACGCAGCCATACTACAATCCAGATGGATTTCAGCCAATCACCGGCCAGTAATTTCACTGCTGGCTTGTGTCTCGTCCGCCATTACGTTCGCGGTGGAAAGTGTCACAAATGAGTTGCGGGCTGAGTGAATTGTCGTAGGCCGAATTATTATTTGAAATGGACTGTTGTGTGGTGATTCCTAAGATGTGGGTGCTGTGATATGACTAATTCTAATTCGCACGTCAACGGGGCGAGCTTGGAGGACTGTCACACGAACTTCTTCGCCTTGGTGAGGCTTTCCCTTCTCATAACTAGCGCGCATTTTATGTCTTAGTCGGCTTATTTGCTTCATTTGAGAGTTACATGTAAGTGCGGTGAATATGTATGTGAATGTACTACTGAAGACTACTGCCACAACAATTTCACCAAGCTCTACTTTTTTATTTGATGTTGGTAGGGTTTATGGTAGGTTTGAAGGCATTTTCAATGTTTATGAAGTTAACGAACTTCTTCAATCTTTTTGTCATTTTAGATCATGATTTGATCTTAATTTATCTGCTGTAGCTATGTAATTATCACAATAAAGACACTGACACAGCACTAGCAGTGAATCAGTGCAGTACTGTTTCGTATGTTATAAGATCAAGAAACACCTTTTTCGTAATTGCTTATCAAATGGTTATAAGATAGGTACCATTGAGATTGGCGGTCTATTGAGAAGGGATACTGACCATCATCAGCAGATTGAGATTACATTGGTAAATAGCTAGATGTGTTTGACCTCAGGGTGCAGCTCACCCAGGTTATGTTATTGGACCATAATTATTTACCTTAAGTATTTACCTTAAGTAAAGGTCATTAGATACCCTTTCGAGTAATAAGACCCTTTACTCAAGAGGCGCCTCCTCCTCTTCTGATGAAGACGAGTTGGCTGCCATGCTTGTTGTCGCCATAAAATGACGACCACAATCCAGTTTTTTAACTGAATGTTAGTCATTTTGACCATCTATTTACATTAATTCAAGGGTACATTACACAAAGGCAGTTTTTAAATCAGAATCTTACGGTTGGTTATAATACCTGTATCTATTGTGCAAAATTGTCATTAGGTTATGACCTGTTCAAATATTGACATTACTTTGCTATTTAGAAATACTATGCTTCAGTAGATTCCTGTGTTTCTTGACAAAAACAAGCTTTAAACAAGACATTAATAGGCTAGCAGGTGCATGGTTTTGAAAACCATTATGTCTTGAACAAAGGAGTGATTTGCATGTGAAAATGTGTTTAAGCTATCAAGGTGCTTGAAGTGCTAGTGATTTTGATTTGTATGCAAAGTCAGTCAATAGGTATTTATTTATTGTTGTATAATTATGAAAACATTATTTTGTTTGTATTTCTGTAAAGTTAAAGTTAACAAGTAGGTATGTAGTTTTTCCAGTTGATATCTCTGCCCTGATGCACAGTAGGCTTCAGTATTTGTGTACTCCCACCAAAGGTAGTTACTTTGCCATGCAAGGTAGATGCCCACCACATATCAGTCAGCTTAATGGATGCCTGCTTGTGAAAAGATACTCTTCAGATTCATGATACATCATCTAATTACCTACCTAGTGGAGCTGCTATCTTAGATGAAGCCTGTCTTATCTATGTTCATGAAGTAATAGAAATCACAGTTGACGCAGGGTCAGTGTCTGTGAGCAACCATCGGTACATAACCTGGCGGAGCTGCTCTTCCTATTCTACCATTCAAAAATGGAAGTTGGCATTGGCTATTTGATACACCTGTTGTTGTGCTGTACTAAAATGTTGGTGTATTGCTCCCGTGGTGATGGCCTTATAGACTTTAATTTGGTTTGCAAGGGTGTTGACTTTATTGAATATCATGTGTCTCAGCAGCTTGTATCATGTCCTGATGTTGTCTGTCTCATTGCAGACGGACCTATGCGGCATCAAATGGCGGAGTTATAGGATCGAGCATGAGCTGACGCCGGATCCGCTGGAGGACCCCGTCATCTCATCGTTCACAAAATGCCTAGCCAGCGACATTCTGTCCGTGTGGCGGCGCGTGCAGCACGCCAAGGCTCCTCCGGCGCCGCCGCCGCCGCCGTCCATGGAGCCGGGCGCGCCGCTGCCGCCGCCGCCGCCACCGGCCGCGCCGCCCACCGTCACCACCTACAAGGAGCTGTGGATCTTCTGGTACGGCGACGAGCCGGAGCTTAGCAACATCATCGTGCCGCAGCTCGTCAGCCGCAGTGAGTACGAGCGGCCGGCCGCCGGCCAGTGGTGCCCCCTGTCGGGCGGCCCCGCGCCGGCCAATCGGCGCCGAGTAACGGGGGGCTCGCCGTCGGCCCGGCCGCCGGCCGGTGCGCTGTGAGGCGTAGTAGGTGTAAGGTTCGGGAACTGACCTCTCTCGATGGGAACGGACCGCAGCGGTGGTGCCCGGTGTGGCATTTATCGCATTTGCTTGGGTGATAAATGGTATACCAACTCGATGATTAAAACAGATATGAAACCTACGATAAAAATGTTCACAGCTTCTATGATAGCAAAATCGGTCTCTGTTTTATATAATCGCGTGTTTGATAGCTGTTGCTGATAAACAACATGCCCATTATATTTGCATGGCCCATATTGTACATTTCATGAAATCATCTGGAAAATGGTAGAGACGATGAATGGACCGACGTGCATCCTTTTGTGCCGTAAATTTACATAGAAATTTTATATAGACATAAATTTTATATTTACGTAAATTTATATAGACAAAGTTTGTAGCACGATCACTGAACCCACAAAATTTCCCAGAAATGGAGCTTACATTGATGCAAGGCACCAGGGTTGTGGTCATTGACCTAGTGGCAACCCTTCAGTGTCCACTTAACGGTCATTGACCCTAGAAACAGTAGTTAGTTTTTTTTTACATTTGTCACGGGCGTGCTAAGTAATGTTAAAGTAAAGGGTGCTTTCATCAGATGAGCCACTTTTTTGTTGCCTTCGTTCTTTCACTTCGTCGAAAAATGTTAAGTAATCAAGTTGGTTTTCGTTTCTACAGTTATTGTGATGGAAAGATAGCGCGATGTAACTATTGAAATTGTATTTTGTAATCTGGTATTAACAAGGGAAAACAGCCGCAGATACCTATAGTTTAAACTGCGTTTTGATCGTAGGTCAGCAGTATAGCCACTGCATTCTCTTCCACATAACCATAAATGTGGTCACAGATATTGTCATTACAAAAACTTTGTGATTTTGTTACTACAGCTTATCGCCAATAGGTTTGAAACTCGGCGTATTGTGTAGTATTGTGTAGTAGCACCAAATTATCTTCATACCTCGGATTTTGTAAATATGTGCCCTGGCTTCAGGTCGGATTAGGGTCAGTCCACGTCAAATCGATCAAGGGTTGACCCGACCCCTTCGATTTTGATAACATTTGGTAAGCTCTCAGCACCTATGGAAACAGAACATACAGCAAGTTTTGGAACTGGGTGACCCCTGAGGCCAGAATTATAGGTCATGAAAGGTCAACTGTTTTTACCGACATCGCAGGTCGATTGAAATACCCATTGCTCTGTAATTAAGAGTGCGGGAGGCTGCGGCAAGCGCCATTAGAGAGGCATTGTTCCAGGTTTTATAAACGATTTTGTTTTTGTCGATGACCCTTCAATGACCTTCGACCTGACTAGGTCAAGCTGAATATTCTCAAATTTGATCATGTTCTGTACCTCGAATGATAACGAATATTTAGCAGAAGATGTACCGTAGTATCGACAATTAGTGTCGCAAAAGTATGTTTTTGTTGGAAGTTATTGTTAAAAATCAAATCCTTTTATAAGGCCATGCACCGTGTACGAAAGCTCCCGTGAGGTAATTTGACGAATCCCGGCTGATTTCGTGCTTCTTGTTGGCCCGAGTGGGCTACAACTTGCTATGCGCAATACCCTGTTGGTGTGCAACACATTGTGTAGTAAAGAAGTTAGACTAATAGGTCAAATGTCAAAGGTCATCATTATTTCACGTCATGCCATTCAGATTTTTTACATACGTTTTATGCACTTTTTATCGAAAGCAGATCCATCCGATGTTGTTGGTCCCAAAAACTGATCACGAGCGAGCGAAGCGAGCTGTTTTCAATATATAACGGAAAAATCTCAGGATGAGCGGCCCGACCCGGCCTGTAACGCTTTTGAGAGGCTTATAACTAAGCAACCGCTGGGCCGATTGACATGCGGTCTTTTTTGTTGAGTAGCCCTATTCCTTCTACCCCGTGGTTGACTATTCTCGATGCATTTAGGTGACCGTCGTGGCACGTGCCACGTGAAAAGCCAAGGATGTTCAAGCAGTTCTACAGAACTAACGCTTTTGGGAGGTCTATATCTCGGTAACAGCTTGGGTGATTGCCTTACGGTAATTTTTGTAGGGTAGTTGCATCCCTTCTACCAAACATCGGATACTCTCGCTGCATATGGGTAACTCCCATTGCACGTGCAAAATGCAACAATAAGAGGTGTCAAATTTGTTGCCATTACAATTACTCTGAAATTACTGGGGCGATTTCGCTTACAGGTAGACACTAGACACCCACTAGGCAATCCATTCCCGTGCTTACGGTTAGGGTGCTACTGCACGTGCGCACGTGCAGGGGGCGTTTCGAGATCTCGAGAACGGCTGGGTCGATTGCGCTCAAAATTGGTAAGCTGTTAGGGACCGGTTGGTAGAGTGCCGTGCGAAAGTCACATTGGACCCAGTTTGCACGTGCGCACGTGCAGAGTGCCGTTCCCAGATCTCGGGAACGGCTGGGTCGATTGCCTTTAAATTTGGCACACCGCTAGTGACCGGTTGATAAGGTGCAGTACAAAAGCGAGGTGCAAATACCCTCTCGCCCTTCTGCACGTGCAGGGCTCACTCTCTCCCTTGCTCGCTCTTTGCCCAAAAGGCATTTTACTGGTAAAATACTACCAGCCGTCTATCGGGACCATTTGAATATCATCTGAGATCATTTTATAATCCACCCGCGCATGAGTGGAACCCGCGCATGAGTTGAAGGGCTCTACAGACCCCCCCCTTCCCGTTTTCTGCCACTTCTTTCAAGCCTCTGGACGTATCATCACGAAACTTTCAGTACCTTCGGCTGCATTATTTTGACACCATGTGTCCAAATAAAAATGAAGAGCCCATTGGTCGGCCGGAAATGATGCAAGAGTGTTGTCATGTTTGGCCGATTTTGACGCAAAATTTTGAGCTACGGCAATCCGTTTTAACCCGCGCCCCGTTGGGCTCTGCCGAGCAACGCGCCCCGTTGGGGGGGGGGCCATTTTGGCCCCCCCCCCTAAGATCTCGAGAACCACGCAACGTAGCGACAAGCGGCAAACGGTGTTGGATAGCCCTATCAGGGAACTACCTTGTGACCCAATTTTATTGACCTAGGTCAAACCGATGACGTCACAGGTCAGGTCAAAGGTCCAATTTTCACCGCTTACAGGCATTTCAAGAAATGCGTTGTAAAATCGAGTAAAATGCATTTCATTGAAAATCATCGATGGGGAAATGTTCTTCAAACACATATTTTGCTAGTTGAGGTCACTGATACCAGGTCAGGTCACAGAGGTCAGGTCACTGGGGGGTCACAATATGAAAGTGTCGTGTGATACATGTTTTATGGTCCATTTTACATGACAAATGCGATTATGTGGGTCAGGCAGCCTTTGGGGCCAGCTTAGGTCACGTTTTGGTCAAGGTCAGGTCAAGGTCAGGTCAAGGTCAGGTCAAATTAGGTCAAATTTCAAAGTTGATATTTTGCATAAAATGGGTATCGAATCGATGCAGCTCGTCACGGGGAGTTCAATGGTGGTCTTTGTTTTGCCGTACGAGGTCTAGAATCGCTAAAAATTGAGTTCAAAAATTTGACGTCATCATTTTTGAACAGTTTTTTTCGCTATAACTTGGCCAAAAAACGAGATATCGATCTGAAATTTGGTATGTATATAGAAGAGCGCAGGGACTATCACATATATTCCGGTTTTTTTTCGAAATTCGGAAAAAAATTTGGATTTTTTTTAGTTTTTCTAAAAAAATCAATTTTTTGAAATTTTTGGGGTCAAAAACCCAAAATTTTGAAAATCCGAGATAGCAGTTTCGTAGCGCCGCTTTTTGTCTATTAGACCATATAAAGAACTTTGAAATTGCTTGATAACTGTAGATTTGGTGAGCGTTTCAAGATTGCATGTTTTTTGCTCATTTTTGCTCGAACATGACCTCAGTTTGACCTCAATAACTCCTGACCTAAGGTGACCTAAGACTTGAAATTTGGTGTGAAGGTGTCAAATAGATGCCCGGAAAGGTACTGAAAATTTGGCGGCGCTGCGCGCCGCCGTTTTCTTGCTATTCAGGAAAAACCACAGGGGGGGGGGGCCAAAATGGCCCCCCCCAACGGGGCGAGGGTTAAGAGCTCTGTTTTTGAGCTAGATTCTTTTTTTTTGCATGAGAGGACTCAGAATGCACAGGGCTATCAAAGTATTTGAAAATCTTCATTTTTTAATCTTTTTTTTCAGTACGTTTTCGGCATCGTGTTCCGAAACAAATAGGACAATCGTGTTCCTGCGTTTAAACTGCATCTGATACACTTTTTTTTTGCTGAAAAATATCAACTTCAAAAGTTTACCTTGTTTGACCTGCTAGTGACCTGACCTCAGCTATATTTAACTGAAAATGACCTCAGATGACACAGACGACACTGATTTCGAAATTTAAGGTCGAAATGGACCATTAACATGTTGCGTGGCATATGTGTCAACTGGATGTTTGGTTTGTTGGAAATCGAGATGGCATGACGTGAATTGGTAATGACCTTTGACCCTTGACTTGTTAGTCAATCATTTTTTACTACACTGATTTGAGCTAGATTCTTTTTTTTTGCATGAGAGGACTCAGAATGATTTGTTGCATACCAACGGTATTACGCATACCAAATTGTAGCCCCATCGGGCTAACTAGAAGCACGAAATCAGCCTGGATTATTCAAATTGCGTCAGGGCAGATTTGGCTTTATATGTTTCGCTTTATATGAGAATCTTTTTGTTTGCAAACTGTAATTTTCCCAGGATTTTTTTTTTTTTGCAATTGATTTTGGGAAACTCAATCGTTGTGTCGCCAGGGGCGGATCCAGAGGAAGGGCTTTAGCCGTCATTAACCGGTCATTAACTGGAAAATATGCCGTCCTGCGGAGCCACGAATCGGTTCGCCGCAACACTAT